GGGTATTTGTGCATTAGGAAACTGCAGAAGTTGTCATCTACCATGTACGTCATAACTGTACTTGATCAGTAATTAAAAATCTGTAGGTGCAGGTACAGAACAGGAAACAGCCACATTGGGTAAATGTGCAGTGTTATGATATTTGTTTTTTTACTTTTTTTTCCATATTTGTATGCAAGCAATTCAAAATTAATTTTGTAATGGTGAATTTGTGGACAATTTTATGCAGATATGCAGCAGATTGGGAGCTCTGGTCCTAAGTGGCCTTGCTTCTTCTGTATCCTAGCAACCCTTGCTTGCCTTAAAAGGCGACTATGCTTGCCGTAAAAGGCGACTAACAGGTTCAGGTGGTCAGGCTCACTGTCTTGGTTGATGCGTGTCACTGTATATACTCGATTGTTTACAGACAGCCGTCATATAGCTGGAATATTGCTGAGTGCGGCGTTAAACAACAAACAAACAAACTCCTGTATCCTGCCTTCCTGTTTCAGCCTCTCGCACAGCTTTAGTAAAAGAATGTTCAATTGTTAATATTGGAGTAAACTAGTTGTGGATTTATGTATTTAACATGCTCAGCATTTCTTTACCTTAGATATAAACTTACAGTAATATTTTAGCAATTCATTAAAGTAATGTTTATGAACCAGTTTTAAGATATGCAACTAATTGATACTACATTTTTTGTGAACATATTTGACAAAGAGAATCTATGAAAGGTCATTACAAGGTCTGAAGCATGACATGAACATGTGGGTCGATTGATAAGGGCAACACTCTAGTGTGGAACGTCAATACCGTAAATCATTGACAGGTTGATGTTAGCATGGCATATTGTAAGAAATCGACATACACAGTAGGGAGTATTGAATTATCTACCATGCTGAGTGTTATTGTTTTACCTCATCAGGGGACTTGTCAGGCTCATATCAATATCATATCAATGTCATATTTCTCACGCTGAGAGGATCATCAACACAGTATCAACAAGCTGGTTGATAGTCGGCAACTGGAGACATGTTGAAGAATATGTAAGGTTTTCAGAAGGATGGTTTGTTTGACAATTAGTTTCTGTGAATTTGTGTTTTTCGATGTCCTTTAAGTTGGATATTGGTAAAGAATGTTGAAATTGTAGGAAAGATTTGCATATTTTTCTATGACAAATTAACTTTTGCATATTTTGATAGGAAAATATCTCCATCTTTTTTCCCAGCTATTAACCAGGAATTTCAAAAACAAAATTTGTAAAACAAAAAAGAAAACTCAATAATGTAATATCTGCGGAGCAGTGACACGATGTGTAAGTATAGCAATATTAAACTGAAGTATTCCATACAAGGTATTAATAAGTCTGTATCAATATTTATTGTTTTAAAAAAAAATGTTTTAATTATCTGTACATAATATGGTTGACAAACCAAAACTATAAAATGATTATTCAGGAATGTCAAGAATTAAAATTACATGGCAATCTTTCCCCCAAAATATACCACTCAACATCTGAGAGGGATACTACATGTATAAGTTGTAGCAGTAACAAGAGGAGTACATGTGGTTTATGCATCCTGTGTTAGGTGTAATACCATGCTTGAGGCGAGTGGTATAACAGAGGGATGCATAAAGACTCGGAAAAAGCTTGCGGCTTTTTTCTTCGAAGTTGGGTAGAAGGGATTTTTTCTGCTCTCAGAAATTCATGTGCAGCCTGACTTGCTCATGGCAGGGTATAAGGGATTTATCCTCCCGCTGAGAAGTTTATTTCCCTCCAAGATGGGATACATGGTATTTATCAGGATCACGTGAACCAATCAGATCTCATCTTTCTGACATAAAGGTATAATAATATAAGTTGTCAACCGATCCCGAGGGGTATTTGGTGTGCTGTACTCTGTGTATGAGCCCACGTATCCCCAAGCCATCAGGAATATGTGTGTGAGGTGCACACAGGGTACATCACACCAACTGCCTCGTGGGATCGGTTGACTACAAATTTATCTCCCTGACATTCATACAGACCTGGAATATATGTTTCACCCAGTAAATCTCTTTGATTCATCCATTTTGACAGCTACCAGACAACGCAAACGAACCGAGTCACTTAAATTCTCTTTACCCAAAGCATTCGGGGTACAGATTAGTTCATTTCAGCTCAACGATACTTATGTGAGAGAAGCAAGTTACCTAAGGTGTGTTCCAAATGATTTCTCAGTGGGCTTTATGGAAAATAGTTGCCCACTCCTTAACCAATCAGAAGCTAGTATTCTAATGTAAGGGGAGATAATGGGCTATGTCATACTGTAGTGTTACAGGGAGGACAGCAACTGGTATACTTTTAACATTAAATGAAGGTAAACATGCTCCAGTTGCATGGCAACATGGGATCCTATTTGTATGACAAGATATCCAAGCAGCCAATCGCACACATTCACAGTCCACACTCAGAATTAGAGCTGGGATGATACACCATGCAACTGTGCGTTCAGATTCGTATCAGGACACCTTGCTTACGATAGATATGTATCACAATACTTGCATGTGCTCTTGTCTGAGGTGCGTAAGGCTTCTTTTTCTTGACAGGCCAAATACCTGTCACACTGACAAATTATGGTTGGCAGTGTCAAGTATTGCGCAATGGACGAAATATTTACGTCATCATTACTAATTTTCACTAGTAATTAGGGTTTGGTGTATCAGTTATTAAAGCAAACATTTAAGCTAAGAAACATTTTGTTTTACCATGCTTGCGACTGTGATCGATACTAGTATCGAGAAGTAAAAATTGCAATCCGCCGATGCATTGGCGCATCATTCCACGACTAGTCGGAATATCCCTATCCAATATTGAGTAGTATAGTTTATCATGCTACTTACAAAGACTAACGCAACACATTAGTTATTGTATCGTGACTTTGTTGTGTTCTTGAATATTCCATTACAACATCAGACTGCAACCACATCTTAGCAAGGCCTGTCCAGAATTATGCTATAATCAATCTAGCTCACATGTGATGCTATCAAGAAGATTGTATAACCTTTTCTTCTCCGCATTGATCCCCACTGCCAGGGATGAAGACGACCTACATTATTGATTGGATGCAAAGTTTTATTTTCCTAAGGCTATTGATTTCAAAATAAGCTAATGAGTAAGAATAATAAAAACGTTTCAATATTTAATGCTGTTTATGTGGACGGAAGAATATTGATTTTAGTTATTACTTGACACTTTCCCGATTTGTGCAGCGGTTGATGAGTTCGGTCCACAGAGTACATGTATAAATTGTCATTGTTGATGATGTTTAATGCGGATTAATTCTTCAAGGAAATTATGGAAATAATGTCTGAATACTGTTTCAGTGATTAGTGTTGACACTGACGTAAATATTTGAATGAAGTAATGTGGAAATACAAGCTCATGTAGAAATTCATCATTATCATTGTGAAGGAAGAAGTTGTTTGACAGTGTTCAGTGCAAGCTCCATCATATTGATGTTACTGGTGGGAAGGTATGCCAGCAAGGTTGAACAGAAAACGGGCTAACTTTCAGTACGAAAGTGCTGTAAACACAGGGTGCAACTTGGCAGTAGCCTAATGACCAGAGTTAATTTGCTGATTTAGGGGTCGATTTAATTGCTGGCCCGCTGGCCTGTGGCCAGTTAAAATTACAAAAGCTTGCTGAATTGTAAAGTAGATCTATGCCTGTCTGGCTATTCCAAATTTCACCCCTTCTCAGTGTATGTTTAATTTTTTTTAATTATCATCTCAGCCAAGATTTAATCTCAGATTGCAGGAGAAAACGTTTTAGGGGTGAGGAGTTCTAAAGTTTTCAAAGCCCTGCTAGGTGGCTACGTGACCTCAGGTTTGGCCTCCTCCATTTATTTGTAGGCCAGTTAGTTTGAAGAAGGACCTGTAAATTTTAAGAGGAGCAAGCCCCGCTGGCCACATGCCAACCTCTTTTTCAATCTACCCCTGCTTGACTGTTGGGCTGGTGGTAAAATGCATCTGTATTTTACATGCTAGGTCAAAAACCAGTCATCCATATTGTCGAGAAGTTTAGACACTTCTCACGACTTGCCCAAATCAGATCTAACGTGAATTTTTTACTGTATTTCCATGTGACTATCCTGAACGAAAACAGACAAGCGTAAATACTGTGAAAAGGGTCAATGGGAAATTAAGTGTTTATGCAACAAAAAAACAGTCAGTCTATTCCAAAACATTTTGAGTCTACTAGCCCGACCTTGGTTATTAGCATCATTGTCTATGGATTTATTATACGGATTATTTTTAGCTGAGCTTACAAGACCGACATTATTTTTTACTCAGGTTTTATTTTAACAGGTTTTCGAAAAGTGACTAAAGTCATGACTGATACAGGCAACTAGTTTTTAAGCTAGCATGGAAAATAGGGTTACACTTCATGACCTGCCTGGCTATTATGTTATAAAATCGTTGGGATTCCTGGTAAAAATATAGGTGCCAGAAATCTATGATTGTACGAGGCGACTAAATGGATTGGCCACCAACTACCACTATCTTTGAATCCCATGTACAAGTAATCTAAATCACTGTGTCAAATCTCTTCAGGCTAGTGACAATCTTTTCAGTAAAAAACTCAAATTTTAAGGATCAATTTGACGTTATACTTGACCATATTTGCCATAATAAGAGTCCTAGGCGCTTGGAAAATTAACAAAGATGCGGTTATTGAAACCATAAACAAGTTTATATTCATAGATCAAGCGGTTGACAATAATAGTTACTGGTCAATTATATGCCCTTTCTACGCTTCTGTTTTGTGAAAAAGATATGTTGTATATGCACAAGGTAATATGGATTGTCATGTAGATTTTTGGTCTTATTGGGGAGCGCTTATAAAGATTATTAACAGATTGGTCTAGAAGATGGTTGGGGGATGCTTACTGGAGAAGAGTGCTTAAACAGCAATTTTGGTGCATCTTTTCGAGCATGTTTTTTGTTTATTTGACGAAATGTCTTTTTTGTTTTAGATCAACACCTGCGACCAGAATGTCGCTCGAGGCTGCGAGATCATCGAGCTCAACGCCAAGGTGCAGGGCCAGCTCTTCAAGCTTCTCAGCGTCTGTGCATCAGATGGTGAGCAGGCTTTGGAATTGCTTGTGTTTGAGTACCAGCTGCATGGTTAATATATGTTCCTCGTGCCTGGAGATGTTTACACATCATGTTTTTAACTAAAATACCTTATGTTTATTATATGCTTAGAGGCCACTTGTTGGGTCAGGCTCTATGACTTGGCTGATGACACACGCATACCATGTGGATCATTGTTCATGATATCAATCACTGGATTCTTCGTGCAGACCTAATTATTTACAGGCGCCATCGTCATATAGCTGTAATATTACTGCTAAAAAACAGACGCAAACATACAGTGGACCTTTGAGACACCATTATTGAGTACAACTTATACATGGTGAGCGACACCCATGTTCCCCATCTGTCAGTGTTCAAGTCAGTGGGAGGGGTGTCCGATGGGCTGAGGATATGTTCTTCCTGTGTAGGAATTATATAAATTGTTGTCATTGGGAGACACTGGCAGAAGAAATAGCTTGATGACAAGAAACACAAATGTTTGTTTCAGTTTACTTGTATTTCATAATAAAAGGTCCAATAAAGATAAGAAGCTATTATACTTGATGTAATTTCATTGAATGCAATGCAAAATATCTCTGCATGCTAAGAAATCATCTGTGCTAAAACCTTTTGAGTCCATCAACCCGAAATTGACTCTTAACATCATTTTCAGTAGATTTTACTGTTATCATATGCTGATGTTATTGAACAGAATTTTGCTTGACTTTGGTTTTGGACTATTGGCTAAAGTCGCAGTCTGAGAAATTAATATATCAATATATTTTAACAAATTTTAAATTTTTGAAAAAAATCCATTTCCCCAAATTAGCCTGTTTCAAAAATACATAAACGCATATAGTGCTGAAAAAGTCCTGTCAATTTGTCATAGCCGTTTTCTTTGTCATGCTTACATTAACCTCTTTAAATATGTAGACATCTCTGATCTCAGCAACTTCCATTGAATAACTACACCAGACAGCAGTAAGACATACATGTGGGACACACAGAAGGCTTTATGTTTACCTCCAGACATTTATGTGGCTGAATTTCTGCCACAAATGAAAACCATCAGTTAGACATGGAATGTTCCTTTTGTTTAACCCTCATGTCTAAAGTAGACTTCAACTCATCAAACATTAATTACAAATTATCCAAACCCTATTAATCTGCCTTCCCAGGAGGAATGTACGGAGGTGCCAACATCATCAAGTCTCGTCTGCTGCCCTGGCTGGGCCAGAACTTCTTCACATCCGGCGGCAGCGTGACAGCCGACACCAGTCTGTCTGTACTAGCCGAGGCATCTGCCAAGGACCGGGAGTTCAACGACCTCCAGGACATGTACGAAAAATCCATGGATGACCTCGAGCGGGACCTCCAGTCCATGAAGACCGAGAATCAAGATCTCAGGGATGAGTGAGTGGACAGATTTTATGTTAGAAGATAAGTAAATATTCAGGGATGAGAATTTTCCAAGGAATAGCAGAATTCCGCAGATTTTGTTTTATATGCCATATCCATATACACATAAATCATATAGTCCCCCAGACTCCCAGCTAACTTTCACAGTGTTTATAAAAACAACAACATTCTCAGCCCTGAATATGACAGGTATGGTTAGCAAGTAAATATAAAAAATGGTATTTTGACTGTTATTTTTATGGTGGTTGGAATCACTGAGAGAGTTGTCTCCCCTTATACAGCAGGTGACAGAAGCAAAAATGCCAATCATAAGAATTAGTGCCCACAACCTGTGTTAAATGCATGAGTATAAAAGTTGTGGAAATGTATACATAGGAGTCCCAAGTCCCAAATGATGATATATAAGGAAAACTTTCAAAATTTTGTAATTTCTGCTAATTTAAAGCTCTTACGATATCTTGTCTAATTGTGTTTTGGTTGGGACTGTATCAAAACCAGCATAAAGTAGGCATGGATTGTTCCATGCTACAATGTTGCTTTAGGAAATGACCTTTTGTTCTGTGTGTACATTGTCTAGAATAATTTGATTTGATTTTGACATAGTAATTTCATCAGAATGTCGGAGACACATCAACAATCACTGACTTCCTTGTCGGGTACCTCCATGTTTTCAGGCTACAGGAAGCTAGACTAGAGTTAGATAGCAATGTGCGAAGCCTTTCTGGCGACCGCGATTACCTGGATACAGAAAACAGGGACTTGAAGCGAAAGTAAGTACTGTGTTGTTGGACTGAAGTGATGTTGTTTGTCTCTGTAGATTGGCCGACACTAAGGTAGAACTAGACAGAAGTATGCGAGCCTCCACCAGCGAAAAAATGTTCACTGATGTAGAGACTCAGGAGTTGAGGAGAAAGTAAGAGCTGCAGCAACTTTAGTGTAGACACCGTCATCTTCATCATTAGATGCTTCATCACTTGTAGGGGGGAGCTTGGTTCAAGGGGGTAGTAGCAGATTTGCACTGGTTGGACAGACTTGCAGAGGGAGAATGGCTCAGTTTTACATGCAGGTTTTACTTAGTACTTTATTAGGCCTGCTATTTTCTAATAGTTTGTTTACAAAAATGTCATCTCCCTGAGGCAAGGGAGTTAACTGACGGTGAAAGTCCAGTTTCAACCCTTGCCGAAGAAGGTTGGAATCTCTTGGCTCGATCATAGCGTACCAGTGACTATTACAAGTTGTGTCCCTTCTATGTCTCTGCTGGTGACCAATCAGATTTCACCTCTAATATCACTTGCATTTGCACCTTGATTAAAAACATTTAAAGATTTGGAAAATATCTGTTGACACCAAGTTGATGCTACACATGTTTTGCAAATCCTGCAATCGACCGAAATATGCAAGGTAGCTTACGAACCGGATGTTGATTTCATTATGCAATTTTGATTGGACTATGCATAGACTTGTTTGTCCAGCCAAAATATATCTCCATAATTCCAGCCTAGTTCGGCAAGGGTTGAAACTCGACTTTTATAGATAGTTAACTCCCTTGCCTCAGGAAGATGAAAACATGTTGACCTAACATTCAATGTAGATGGGTTTAAAGTTTGTCTGTTTACCTATCAGTTCATGATATTAAGCCTACTTAAATGGGACCGCCTCCGTGGTCAAGTGGTAGAGCGTTTACCCGTAGAGCGGAAGGTTCGAGGTTCAATCCCCGTTCGTGTCATACCAAAAGACGTTAAAAGATGGTACTTGTTGTTACAATGTCTGGCGCTTGGCATTAAGGGACTAAAACAAGGACTGGTCGGCTCGGAGTCAGTATACTGTGTCTGAGTGGGGTATTCATGTTAAACTGCGGCATGGTATCTCAGTGGGCTAGCACTATAAATCGGCATCAGTCCGGACTAGTTCAAGCAGCCACACACACAGACACACACGTGCATGCACGTTGCTATACAAGTGCAATAATCTTAAACGCGACATTCAACTCCATTTCACCTCACCTAACCATCTACTTACACGGAGACGATGTTTCAGTGTCACACACGTCACTTACTACAGTGTCTGGATGGATGGAAATGGGGATCAGAATGTTGAGAGTAGTCTCCCTTTAAGTGAGATTTCATGAGAAATTCTAATTTTGGGTTTCTGAAAGTTGTATGGAAAAGGAGTAGGTCTTCATTTACAAGTCATATTCAGAAATACTCACAAGTTTTGTATTTTTCCATTTTTATTTAATGTGGGAGTCAAGGTCCCTGATTGTAAACAAATTGATAGTAATTTTTTTATATGATACTCTCAAACTAGGAATGTTGTTATTTATTTGCTATACAGTAAACCGTAGTTTGATATGAGCATATATATACAGCATATTTATATACAGCAAAGGGCCAGGACCAAAAAACAGTTTGTTATATCCGTCAAAGTTTTATGAGCTTACTGAGATGTCTGTATAATATTAATTTTATTTTGTCGAATAATGTATCATAGTGCTCACTTCAGTGTGATTATTTCAGAATTGCAAAATGATAAAAATATAAGTATGATCGTCAATACTGGACGGCTTGGATAACCTAGGTCTGCATCCACAACCCTATCTTAGCATTATTGCATGTCTTTGTTAAACTTTGAGAGTTAATTGAAGCGCTAAGAACTCTTTTTGGAATAAGATTCTGCAAGTTATAATAAAATGCCTCTGGAAGATCTTAGTGCAAATAGAAATTTTAGAAGTTTGTCTGTGTTACATCCTGGAACTAGATTTGGTAAAGTCGATTTTTTTCTCTTGTTCAAACAGAACTTGTCAATGATATTGATAGTTACATTTTTCTTAATAAACTAGTCTCCGCAGTCTTAAAAGGTAACACATAGTTTATGGAAATCCATTCCAATACCCCTGAATCTGTTGTTTACTCTCTTGTAGCATTTCAGCCATCTGATGGTACCAGCATATTTCAGTTCATTTCTCACCATGCTTTCATTGCGTTCACATCTTTGCTTTCAACTGTTGAGCTGTGCAGAATGTTGTATAATGCATAGGAAACAACGGTTAAATTTGACCACATTCCACAAAACGACTACAAATATACTACTCAACTTTTGGTAGGGATATTCTGAGTGTGATAGATTGCCTGGAGATATAAAATAGCATGTAATATTGCCATGGAAGAGACACGTTTTCAGCTTCTGTTGACTTCAATATATTTTGCTTTATGCAGCTTTACTACTATAAGCACTTACAATTTAGTTATATTATAATAAACATGAGTACACGTTTCTCCAATGTGGTCCACTGAGTGTCGTAACAGTATGACAAAGTTCACTATCCCTATCAAATATTGAGCGGTATGTATTGTTCTCTGCATATTAAATGTTTTTAAATCATGTAATTCTTCAACACGAAACACATATTAAACATGTAACCATATCATATATAATTATGTTACCCTGGAATAAATTTTTTATTACATTTGTTTTGAAGCCAATCAAAACATATTTCTACATTTTCATATATCCATATATTTTTCACTTTTGTTAATTTTATGGTATTTTTTCCAAATATTCTGACTTTGTGAAAGATCCATAGCACCTTGTCATTCCGCCATCCTACTGAACATTGTGCTGTGACATCCCCACTTGCACTATGGGAATCTTGTGATGACCGACCTCTTGCACTGACCACCTCACTGTGTGTCCACCCCTGCCACAACACAGGAACCAGTTGTTGACCACCACTGACCACTCACCCACACAGTGCTTGTTCAACAGTATAGTCTCTCTTGACATAAAGGGGGGCGGTCGTGTAGCCTAGTGGTTAAAGCGTTCGCTCGTCATGCCGAAGGCCCGGGTTCGATTCCTGACATGGGTACAATGTGTGAAGCCCATTTCTGGTGTCCCCTGCCGTGATATTGCTGGAATATTGCTAAAAGCGGCGTAAAACCATACTCACTCACTCACTCTCACTTGACATAAAGGAAAGTCTGCCTCTCATCTCAACTTCAGCAGATTTCCATAAAATTGTCTATTTTCCCGTTACATTTTTTTGGTGAAAATGCAGATTAAAATGTGTTTTGAATAGTAACATCTGCCATCACCTTGTTGATAAAGTCAATACCAATGCCATTTATTGACCTGACCATTGTGGGGATCACTACTGACATTCAACCAAAAGGAAATATCAAAATGGCAGTTTGCTAAGATTAGAAAGTCAATACCTATCTTTAAAGATTATGCACTGCAAACACAGCCAATAACCAGTCTCTATGGAATGGCTCTCAGTGCTGTCTGAGGCAAATGTTACATCTTTGTGTAGAGAACAAGATATGCCTGTGACTTGGGAAATCTGTGGACACACAAATGGGTGATAAAAGTGTGAAAAAGACAGATTTGTTGAAAAGAAATACTTTACGAAAGTCAGTTGATCAGATACATATGCAAAACACACATAGGCTGTAGAATAAATGCAACCCTACTCATGTACAACTACGGAACAGGGACATTTTGTAGGGACATCAGTCATGTCCAGACACTGGCCAGGAGAGAACTGGCTCCTGAATCTACATTTCCTTTGATCGATCTTTTAAAAGAAGGATCCCAAGATTCCCATTGTGCATCAGTGACCGGATTTATGTGAATCAATCAAGCGAACAGTGCATCAAAAGCCTTTCGTTTTCCGTAGACTTGCAGCTGCAGAGGAAGAGTGCAAGACTCTGCGAAACAAAGCAGGTCTTTTAAATGATTATCAGAGTGAGGTTCGGCGCTTAAGGGACGATATAGCCCTCCTCACAGCTAGGCGAGACGTCTTACAGCGCTTACCCCCCAAAGATATTTCGTATGATGTCAATGGGTAAGAGAAGCGAGCCTACTAACACGGGGCTCGGTCAACCGATTCTTGTTTATTTGTTTGTTTATTTATTCATTTCTTATGACCCTCTGACACCCTAACCCATTTCTGTTGCATTTATATACAATTTGACATGCTTGGTCTGCTCTGTGTGAAATAATTGTTTCGTAAATTGAAAATCATATCCGGAATGAATTGTTGGCAGCATCTTGTGGTTATGGATTTTTTCATGTAACTATTAGTTCTACTTGGATAAGTCATTTCATGGAAGAGTTGAAAAGAAGATAGGAGTTCTGATTTGAAATTTCCTTACATGACAAAAAAGAAACTTTGCATTAGGCTTGAAAAAAGTATGAAATGGGTTCTTGGGCATTTGCTAATTGCAGCTTATATTCTTTTTTGTTTGACATGTAAGTGGTCAACATGTTCATATTTGTTTCGCAAAAGTAGAAATATATTTTTGACACTGCCTTGGGGTATTATAATATTGGAGAGCCCAAGAAACTAGAATATCGTTTTGTCTTTATTTGGGATGTGAAACAGTAACATGAATCTGATTATTCACACAGAACAGACTCAAACTTAGCTTTTTATTTACGCTTTTAAAAATTTCTGACACTCATTTCTGTCTCGATGTGGTTGTGTTTAGGCTAGCTGATGCACAGGATGAAATAGCCAAGTTACGAGTTAGGGCAGGCCTTGTGGATGATTATGAGAGAAAAATGCGGAATCTGAGAGACGAATTGTCGCTCTCCTATGGGAAAAGGGACTACAAGTAGGTTGCCCTTTCTTCATCTCACGCCGCACTATGAACTTTCTGTGACCCAATCTGCAAATTGAGTTTTAGTTTTAGACACTGCTTGCTGTCAATGTGTGTTTGACTAGACCTGTAGGCTGATGCTTGTTGTGTCGTAATGCATGCTGAGTTAAGCTTGGATTGTTTGCTTTACTAAATACTAGGAAATGTACTAGGAGATAATTGTAGATAGGCTAGAGTAATCATGCTTCTGTTTACAAGATTTATACCATGAAGATCAGGTTTAAATAAGATCTCCAGCAACCCATGCTTGTCGTAAGAGGCGACTAATGGAATTGGGTGGTCATTCGTGCTGACTTGGTTGATGCATGTCATCGTAACCCAATTGCGTGGATCAATGCTCATGACGTCAATCACTGGATTGTCTGTTCCAGACCCGAATATTTACAGACTGCTGTCATATATTGTGCAGCATTAAACAACAAACAAGATATTTAACTTGGTGTTTTATATATCTGTTCCTTCAATTAATTTAAATGAACTATAAAAGTTTAACTTTGTAAAACCGATGTTAAATAACACTATTTGTAATTGTCAGTAAAATTGTATGATATTGCTGTTTATGGAATTAATTTGCACTTGTTTGAAAAAAGTAATGATCTAGGAAACAACATTAACTTAGATGAAGTGATTATAATTGCCAAATCATCATGTCTTCTGTTCATATAATGTTTGAATAAGAAGTCCAGCTTTTTGATTGACTGATGTTGAAAAGTAACATTTAGTATGGTGTTTGCTGTGATTAACAACTAGTCAGTCTGCATGATGTGTTAATTAATGGAATGATATAAAGTGAATTAACTAACAGTTGGACCTTTATGAATGAGGTATTTACAGAGGCAATGCATGAGTTTAGATGAGAACTGGTTGGCTGACGATAGTGCATGTACACAGATGCATGTGGTTAGTCTTGATATGAAATCAAGTGAACACTAGACTTAGAATAGGACTTGGCATGAGAAGGGGTGATGCCGAAAAATGGTAAAATCCCTGATTCAACATTAAGCAATAAAGAGAGAATCTCACCCTCGTGTCTTTTGATATCAAATATCAACACGAGTTGATAAAAGTGGAAAAATTCCGAGGCTTGCCGAGGATTTTTGCCACTTTTATCAACGAGTGTTGATATATTTGATATCAACAGACACGAGGGTGAGATTTTATTTATCATCCAACATCATTCTTCCAAGTTTTCAATTTGTAGACAGTAATTAGCAGTGTCTTCAGTGTAAAAAGTACTGCTAACAGCTTCAGTAGCAGTGCCATTAGTGATGTCATTTGATTGTGACGTCATGGTAACCAGTGATGTCACAATGGTCTGTAATTTCATTGCAGCGATATCTACAGTGTAGATATCGCTTGATCTAATCCAAGCGATATATCTCCTGTGGGAGCCAGTTTTGGATGATAAATTACCATTTTAAATATGGATTATTTATTTTCAATTAAACATCATCAAATAATGATCCATAAAAGGGAGTAAAATGAAAGAAGATTTAACTACGGGTATGTTTTGAATAACAATGGCCCTCATCACATTTACGTGCTTGTTTTGTACAGCCTGTCGGACAGCTTGACCTCGTACCGCTACACCTCCAGGATCACAACCCCGCTGGCGATCGATGACCCCGTGCAGCGAGTCCGCCAACAGAACCTGGTGGCCAGATTCAACGACATGTTCGCTCAGGATCGTCTTGACGCCCTTGACACTCTCAGGCGCTACTCTGACGATCACGAGAACAACCAGAGAATCATCTACACTGCTATCTCAGTAAGTAGGACCTCAGTTTGTTGATAATGCTTAATTATAAGTTGCTTGTGTTGAAGGATTGATGAGATTACAACTGTTCACAACTGTGTCAACGTATATGTTATGGATATCTTTGAATGCTTGTTGTAACTGAATAGGGGATTGGTGGTCAGGCTCGCCGACTTGGTTGAAGCATCCGAATTGGGTAGATTGATGCTCATGATGTCAATCACTGGATTGTGTGGTCCAGACTTGATTATTACTTACAAATAAACATCAAGCATGTATGTTGCTACAGGAAGCCTTCAGCACGGCCAAGCTTGCATTCCGCCAGTTCAAGATGAAGGTGCGAGCCAATCTGGCCAAGACTCACTACGGCCCTGAGACGCTGGAGGAAGCCGTGCAGGACTACGTCAACCGCAACAGCGACCTCTACGACCTGCCTGGCATGGTGTCTGTCAGTACACTTCTAAAATATTCTTTCTTAAAGTTTTTCCCTTAAAACAGGTGATGGAATCAATTTGATACAAACAAATTGAAATATAAATAAATGAAATTTGTTGGAAATTTAGATCTTTTTAAGCCTCTTAGCAAAATAGTAATAGTGAGAATGTAAATAGCCTTGTGTTCGGTGACATATCGTACAAAGAGAGCCATGATTGCTTTGTGAAGGAAATCTTTCAATATAAAATCAAAGGATATAGGGATTATCTGATTATGTTTAAGTGACAAAAACAGCTTTTGAAAAAACAGTAATGGCTCTCCTAGATTTTCCATACTGTAGCTCAAAACTCCCTTGTTTTGGAACCAATTGCAGATCTGCCTATTTAACTGTTAAGGTTTCCTTGTTACTCCAGTGATAAAAATGAAAGATATTGGGGTCCCTAGATTCTCTCTTCAGGAACATTCTACAAGGATACCTTTATTTTGAACACTGCAATTACAGTTAGGATTTTGTTGACAGGATGTGATCCGTGCCCTCAACCGCAATCCCAAGATCTTCCTGCCTCCTGATGCCACCTTTGCCATCGTCCAGCCCTTCATCCGGGAAGCCTGCAAGCTGGCGTGGCAGATGAGTGCTCTGGCCCACCCCATTGACATCGCTGCCTCCACTGACGCTGAGCTTTTCGACGACAACAAGTAACTATAGCACTAGCACTACGTCTCCTGATGCTGAGAAAACAAGGGCCGATAATAAGACAATTCTTTGTCAGCTCTTAACTTGCAGAGCATGAAAATATGATTTGTCAATAAGGCCACAACTCCTTCAATAATTACAGCTCCTTGTTTCCTGAGTGTTTCCTATTATTTAGAAGGATTATGCTAAAGAACAATTGGAAATATTTACCATGAAAATTACCTCTCTAACATGTTTTTAACCTATGAATACACCATGCCATTTAGATAGTGGTCAAATGTAAAAAATGTTATACTTGGGATTACACTCCTTAGTGAAGTACAGATTCTAGTACTTTTTAGGTTGAGTCGTATCCGGGATTCGAACCCACACTCTCAGAGTGAGGCACCTAATCGCCAGCACACAAAGTCCGACAACTGGTAGTCTAGACCATGTATTTTGTGTACCTGTGTAATCCCAAGTATAAACTTTGTTACATTTGACCACTTCCAAAATGGCATTGTGCATTCATAGCTTTTGGCCATCGGAGCCGTGCCAATTTACACTTTTCAGAGGGGCACGCAAAGTATGTGATCTAGACTAGTATAACATTTGTTACATGTTTTTAAGTGCTAATATTTTTTTAAATATCTATCAGTGCACAATCAGGGACATTATGTATACTACTTATACATAAGTCAGGGAAAGTCAGGGGTTATAGTCTAATAAAGACATAGAGGAGCCACGCTTAGTTCGTTACAGTGGGAAACAGGGATGTGAGGTTTATGACACAAAAAGCAGTTTTCATGTAACAAAGTTTAATTATACATTCCAAATATTTTTTTTTAAAAAGGCCATGATGTCTTAGGCTAAAAAAAATAATAGTCTTGGTTCTCAGGCATCATCATTAAGGTTGCCGCACGTTTTGTTTTTATTTCCATTATATAAAATAAAATATTAAAAAATCCTTAAATATTTGAAGTCCACGGTAGTCAAATACTGTATTCCACGAAGTTACCAATTCTTTTATATTTTTTTTAAGCCTTATGAAGAAGACATTTTAAGCCTTAACTTCACGTGCCAAGTGACATTGCAAGCCGTGATGCAAAGTTGATGTGTTTGCTTGTAGGTACCGTCGCAGCTACGACTCGGAGTACTCTGCCCCCTTAGTGAACCATCACATCTGGCCCTGTCTCATGCAGGGGATCAAGACCCTCGTCAAGGGGGAGGCTCTGACCCGCCGCGGGGCCTCGCTTGTAAGTACCACTTGTGCTTGGGGGGGTCAGAGTTAAGTAGTTAGGGGTGAGAGGAGATCAGCACGAATTGGTCCAGTTTAACTTCCAATGTTGTGAAAAATTGCAGAAATTCTGCTGATATAATGTGAATGTCAGTAAAGCTATATAAAGGTGCATTTACACATTTATTACACAAGAGTTTAAAAAAGAATGAATTCTTTAATTTTTTGGTCGAAAATTAATGATTATGAAAACTTGATTTGAATTACATAAAATTATTTCCTAACTGTATCTGGTTAACAGTAACCATACAGTCAGGCACAAGGACAATCAGTCAGTCAGTCAGGCAGGCTGATCATACCGTCTAAATACTGTGTAATATCAGCAACCATTGTGACCACACAATCTCCGTTTACAGTCATCCATGAGCATGAGTTACAGAGAGTCCATTCTGCTCTCAAATATGCTAACATAATCATACAATAATGATAATATAATAACTGTTATCTGACCTGTCAGAGAGCAAGAATTATGTTGATATTAACTGTATTATTATCCATTGTGACCTTATGGAACCTTGACCTCTACATAGATCATCAGTTTGTGAAGTTGCAGCATGTCAGAAAGAGAAACAATATGTTGATATTAACTGTATTATTATCCACTGTGACCTTATGTAACCTTGACCTCTACATAGATCATCAGTTTGTGAAGTCGCAGCATGTCAGAAACAGCAAAAATTATGTTGATATTAACTGTATTGTTATCCACTGTGACCTTATGTAACCTTGACCTCTACATAGATCATCAGTTTGTGAAGTCGCAGCATGTCAGAAACAGAAATAATGTGTTGATATTAACTGTATTATCATCCATTATGACCCTATGTAACCTTGATGTCCACAGAGTTCATCAGGTCGAAGAAGTCGCAGCCCTACTCGTGCCCTCAGCCCTACTCGTGCCCTCAGCCCCTCCCGTGCCTTCAGCCCCAGCTTCAGGTCGCGGTCCGTGAGCCCCCTTCGTCGGAGTCGCTCCCCCAGCCCACGTCGCTGCCTCAGTCCCCTGGGTCGACGTAGCCCCACAGGTCGGTGGCTGTGAACTAATTAGCTCCGTGTGGCACTAACTACCACATCCATATTGGTCAGGGAACCATTAAGAAATTGTCTATTTTCGGATTTTTTAAGATACCTTGATACTCAACTTTTTGTCTATGCAAGTCCGTAGAAGTAGTTTTAGTTCATGGTTTTGAGATAATCAATGTTTTCAGTAACGTGTTTTTAGAAGTAGAATCAGATTATGTTTTAACAATAATATGTATTTTTGTTTTTTTTTAATTTTCAAACTAGGCGACATCGTAACGAACCATTCACGACGATACACCTATACTTATAAATGCACAAGTCGGTAAACTTCTTCAAGTCCAAGAATAGACAATTTAACCCTTAGTATCACAAGACATTTGACTAACCACCTCTTAGAGAATTGTATACCAGTTTCCAGACGACGTCTGTATCGTATTGATGACTATATATGTGTGAGTGTGGAGAGGTACAGTGTAGATTGTTTCAGGAGTAGGATAGGTGAAGTTGTCGTACTCTGAAAAGGTACTTTGACATCGGAAAGAGCTGTTGAAAGAACACTGGTATTTAAATGATGCTTCCATTTTTTAAGCTTTAATAACTAAATATGAAAAAGAAAATGTAAATGTTGAACATTTTATTACTTTGTCACTCATTACACAAGCCTTGTGTGTTGAAATTGTTTAAGATAGTAAAATATTTCCTTATTGAAATAATTTGTTTGCATATTCTCTAGCTTGATACGAGATCTAACAGTTTGTTGAATACAGAAATAGATCAAGGTTATTTCTGTAGTTCTCACTAGAGGTATGATTAGTGCTACACATTTTGCTTGATGACGACTTCGATTCATCACTAACAACTTGAATTCAGCTTAACAGCACACGTCACCTTTTCATCTTAAATGGCAACTTACTTCTCAATTTGATAATTTTGAAAATATAATGTCAAATTAAATTGAACAAATTATAACTTATTTTCTAAATCTTGAAAAATTAGAATGTAGGACATAACATATTCTCTATGAGGTCTTGGCAATTAAATTTTTGTTTTGTTTTTAAAATTTATTGATCACAAGAGTTGGTTGCCATTTAATACCAGTTTTGTTTAACTACATATTCATATTAAAAATACATTCTTAATGGTATTGATTCAAGAAATACAATGTGAGTGTATCTGAAGAGTTATTTTCTTCCATTTCAGACTACTAGCAAGTTAACTAGGACTGCCATGCTTGTCAGTGACACTGGTAGTAGCATCTGTTCAATGTCTCCATATACTCGTAACCCAGCTCACCTTTTTCAGAATACATCCATAGTCAACTTCACACCACAAACACAAGCAAACAGGAACCCAAATCTTCCCTCTTGAGCACCCACCCTCTTCCCAGTCCCGACACTGAACATACACACAAGAGTTGGAATAAAAGCGTTGATATCAGAATGTTTGCTTGTGTTTGTCCAGTATTTATAAGTTATATTAGAGTTCAAAATGACCACCCTGCGTGGTTCATACTGATCCGTCCAGATCTGACTGTGATATGTTTGAAATTCTTGTCAACTAATCCCCATGTATTTTCTGTTTTTAACCACAGGTTCTCCCAGTAGACGCTCTATCCTCCGTTCTTCAAAAGCTTTACGATCTATTTCGCCTAAATCTTTTTAGTCGCTGTGCATGTTTCAGTCCTGCTTCTAGAGCTATGCTAGACGTTTTTGTAAATCTGTAAACAGAAATTGCTTTTGTGTGATGGTCAGATAATTTGTAATGGGCCAAGTTTCTGATCCTTCTTTTACCCTTTCATTCTGCTGTCTCATTTCTTTTGCTTTTTGGATCTGTTAGTGCTGCAAGAGTTATCTGCCCTTGGTGAAAGGTTGTGGGAAATGCTGCTGTAATTTCTGAGCTTTTTAGAAGTCACTACAGAGTAAATATTAGCGAATAAATATGAATTTGTTTCTAATTACAATGTACATCTTAACCTAAATATCAGTTTAATACTTTTGCTACTTAAATCTGTCTCAAGTGTGAATATATCGATTATTAATACTGTATTTTAATATCCACTTTGTTCTAATGCTGTACTAACGAAATGTTTGATATGAATATGATTGCTTGGTTATTTGTTTCACTGATACAATTTGACATCCTCAATCAGCATTCATGTGTGACTATGTATTTGGAAGTGAACACAATGTACTGGGATAGAGAGAGTTTTCATGTAGTTCTGTAGGTTTATATTGTAATTACATGATTGATATTTTGTAAGTATTGTAATATTTATACTGCAGATTGTTCTCTCCAATGCACCTTCCTATTTAAAACATTGAAATTATTTGTAATAAAATCTATAGTTAATTATATTTCCATTGTTGTGTTCTGTTATGCTTTACTTGTAAACAGCCAACACTTTCTGATGACCAAGGATTTTTACACCCCCGACTTTAGAGGGCTGGGGTGTATAGTTACCAAGTATACAAAGGAATTCTGTCCGCCTGTCCATCCATCTGCAGACATTTTTGTGTGTGGCCCATAACTTGAAAACTATTCCATGGATTCTTTTTAAACTTGGTGACCATTGTCTGTACCAATAGGAGAGGTGCAGTGAGAAGTTTGATTTCAATATTTGGATTTTCTTAAAATATACAACTATTTATCATTTTTTACTTAGAATTTTGTAAAAAAAATTTGTGTGACCTTTAACTTGAAACCTACTGCATGGATTATTTTGTGAATTTAGTGAAGTTTCCATACTAATAGAAGAAGTGCAGGGCAAAGTTTGATTTTGATATGTGGATTTTCTGAGGAAATATGAATTTTTACGTTTTGAACTTAGATTGTTCTATTTACTTCAACATTTGTGCTGCCTATTTAACTTGGACTACGTGGACTCTTTTCAAATTCAAGGAAGACTTTCCATACTTGTAGGAGAGGTGCCGTGCAAAGTTAGATTTTGATACATTTATTTTCTGAAAATATCAATCTCAATAAAATCAGATCTAAGTTCTCGCTGCCGCTAAACAAAGATCTGAGGACTTCCCATTACAGGGCATGTCAGAACGACCTTTCGCGAACTTTGAACGACCACTGAAATTACTAACAAGAAGTTGACATTAGTCAATTAGAAAGCAGCTTTGAAAACATGTTTAAGAAGAGACAACTTGCAATTTCATCTGTACATCGTGTGAAGTGATGGCAGAAATTAGCTTCTACATAAATTTTCATTGAATTACACAGAATAAATGACACTGTACTAAGCATAGTCTCCAATTCATTAAAAAAGGTGGGCAGTATAACATTGTAAGATTTTGCAATGAGTGTGTGGTGTAATGCTGTTAAAAACAATATTTCAGTTCTGTCATATCGTGTCTGCTTGATGTGGGAGGAAAGCCTGAAGAGATGCAGATCTTAGATGTTTACCACTTTGTTGAAATCTGAAAACACGATAAACCTAGAACATCATCTGGTCGAATCTAGGATTCGAACCCACAATCATCGGTTCCTGGCATGCCCAAGGGACACAACTCTGCAAACAAATTCCAGCTCCTTGGATGACAGGGCCACCTGTGCCCCGATTCAGCATTGATATAGATAAACTGTGTATGTACTTTCTACCATAAAGCACACATAACTCAAAATGTCAAAGGGGCGGACGGGTAGTCTAGTGGTTAAAGCGTTGGCTTGTCACGCCGAAGACCCGGGTTCGATTCCCGACATGGGTACAATGTGTGAAGCCCATTTCTGGTGTCCCCCGCCGTGATATTGCTGGAATATTGCTAAAAGCGGCGTAAAACCATACTCACTCACTCACTCAAAACGTCAAACCCTTCAGTCCACCATAGATTTTCATTGAAATATGTAAAACTTTGAGCTGAGAAAAGTCTATTTTATTTATATTTTTTAAACAAAGAGTTCAAGTTAACTTTGGATGTGATGCCCATGAATACTTGGAAGGACTATGCATTGGTACATTTCTTTCAAGTAAAGAAAGAATGGAACACATACAATTTCTTCTATAGGTTCTTGGGCAAATTAAAATGACGTGAGCTGGCGTGTTTTGTGGTGAGAAGGGCAGGAATGAAAATCTAATAATTATTTTTCTGTGGACTTATATACTTTTTACTGTACAGAAATTCTGCCTTATTAGCTTCATAGGGATTTGGTATTTTTTCTTAAATATTAAATTTTCAAATCCACATTGCCCAGCATGTTATGGTGATATTTTAGGCTTACAAAAATAAAAGAATTGGTTCTCAGGCAATTACTTTTGAAAACATAGTGCAGGCGTGCGGTGTTTTGTTTTTGGCTTGTTCAAACTAGTATGTAACCAAATACCGTATTCGACGTAATAAGCGCCCCGCTCTAATAAGCGCCCACGGCGATATTTGCTAATATATTGGCTAGTGAACAATCCCAATTATCCCCCCTTCCGATTGATCAATGTACACAAGAATTATTTATTCGTGTATAATACGCACTCGTGTGTTATATGCACCCTTAAGTATGGGCATTTATATTCTGGAAAAATGTATCTGTCGTATATAAACAGTTCAGACTGTCAGCACAAACCACGAAATTTATCTTTCAACTCTGTTTTTTCCACCAAAGTAATGTTCTAATAAGAGCCCCCTATTTCTAATTTTGAGAGCGCCCTGGGCGCTTATTACGTCGAATACGGTAAACAGTTGTGTACCATCAACCTGGGAAAGGACCTCCCCACATAAACAAGCATACAAAACTCCTACTGCTGCATAACACAAGAGGCCCAGTAAAACAGTGTGCATGTAAAGGGAAGTAACTGTATGTTATATTAGGTCGCATTGTTTTTAAGTATTAGGATTTTTTACATTTTCGGAAAATGGATATAAAAATGAAACGTGCGGCAGACTTTATGGTGATGTGGGCGGTGCCTGGGAACCAAGACTATTATTTTTTTAGCCTTAGAGGTACTGAATATCTAAATACTAACTACTGTTAAGTCAAGTTGACATCAAGAGCCCTACCGATTTTGTAAAAACATAAGTATATAAATTTACATGCTTCCCAGCACAAACTTTCTGCTTATTGTCCGTTCAATCTTAAAAAACATTCTTAAGTGTGATTTTCTTCCCAATACCCGGTATGCTGAAAATCAATTTCAAGGAATCTGGACTGTCATAACAAGCAGCTTGTTGTGGACAGTTCTTCTCATCAAACTACCAGTATATCCCTTGTTATCTTTTCATGAGAGTGAGTTTGGGTTAATGCCATTTTGAACAGAGTATCTTTCTTGCCCTGGACATCACAGAGTGTCAATAAAGTTGGAAAGGCTGAAGTGATACAGGTAGTTGACAATTCCTTTCATTCCAAGCATGGGTACAAACAGATGATTTGGGCCAATCTGGAATTTGACCCATGATTAAGAGTGAGTGAGTGAGTGAGTGAGTGAGTGAGTGAGTGAGTGAGTGAGTGAGTGAGTGAGTGAGTGAGTGAGTGAGTGAGTGAGTGAGTGAGTGAGTGAGTGAGTGAGTGAGTGAGTGAGTGAGTGAGTGAGTGAGTGAGTGAGTGAGTGAGTGAGTGAGTGAGTGAGTGAGTGAGTGAGTGAGTGAGTGAGTGAGTGAGTGAGTGAGTGAGTGAGTGAGTGAGTGAGTGAGTGAGTGAGTGAGTGAGTGAGTGAGTGAGTGAGTGAGTGAGTGAGTGAGTGAGTGAGTGAGTGAGTGAGTGAGTGAGTGAGTGAGTGAGTGAGTGAGTGAGTGAGTGAGTGAGTGAGTGAGTGAGTGAGTGAGTGAGTGAGTGAGTGAGTGAGTGAGTGAGTGAGTGAGTGAGTGAGTGAGTGAGTGAGTGAGTGAGTGAGTGAGTGAGTGAGTGAGTGAGTGAGTGAGTGAGTGAGTGAGTGAGTGAGTGAGTGAGTGAGGTTTAACACCACTTTTAGCAATATTACAGCGATATCACGGCGGGGGACACCCTAAATGGGTTCACACATTGTACCCAGGTCTTCGGCGTGACGAGCGAACGCTTTAACCACTAGGCTACCCGACCGTCCCCCATGATTAAGAGGTTCCTGACATGGAAAAGGGATACAACTCTGCATGGTGAATTATGGCTCCTCATACTCAGATGTGTCTGTGTGGCTACTTGTACTTGTCCGGACTAATGCCAGCCCATGGAGATACCATGCTACACAATGGATACCACAATAAGACTATGTTAACTCTGAGTCGACCAGTCCTTGTTTTATACCCTCAAGACAGAGCATCCAGGAAGGGTAACAACAAGTACCATCTCTTAATGTCTTTTGAAAAAACATGTCAAAGGATCAAAGCCCCGACCTTCCTCTCCGTGCAGGCAATCTATCCACTAGATCACATAACACTGAGGCCCTGTGGCCAAACAGTCACAAACAGAATGATAGATGGCAACATCTTTATTACATGTATTACAACACAGAGATATGACTTGGATAACTGAAAACAAACAAGACTTCCTAAAAATAGAAAAAAAGAGACATTATTTTGTCAAACACAAAGGACAGTGTTGTTCTGACTCAATATTATAATTTATTACCTACGAGGGCAAACATATCGGGGTTCATTAAAATCATATGTGCCCTAGGGTCATATCACGTCACGGGACAACAGTGTATTGTTTCCGTCATCCGGATGGCATTGTTGACGTCATTCGAATCTTACTGTGACGTGGTCGGAATGATGTCACACTAGAAACGACGTCACAGCTGAAGATTGTTGTTGTCATTCGACAAGTTGTGGTTCTGCTGCTGTTGCGATTGCTGTCCTTATAGGAAAACACTAACATTTGTCTCTGTAAATAGGACATTACATTTGTGCTCATGTCATACTATATGTTTATTTTCGCTTGGGAAATCCTTGAATTTAGACACTCGTGTCGTAAACATAGTGTGACATGAACACTCACGCAATATCCTCTGTTTATTCACACCAATGCAGATTCTGTGCTGAACTATCTGAGCTGATAGATCTGGGGGTATATCATAGTGCAACGAAACCTGTGTATTAATCCAGCTGCTGTAAAGTAGACACAGCACGGATTAGAAAGAATTCTCACATAAAGGAAGCAATGGATTCATGCATCCTATCAGTTGTTGTATTGCAAATATAATCATCGTCATTTATGAGAGGTCACGCAGAAAGTTTGAGATAAAAGTATTTAAAAACTGCCACATTTTCAACTTCCAACAGTGCAATTCAGTCACATCTGGAATGAACCATCATATACCAGCATTGAGTGTTACTTGTCATGTATTGCATGTGCTTCTGCATGGGCCAAACTGGTTGCGTTAAGTCGTGTGTTTTAGGTACCTTTTTCCATTACCTTCAATCTAGCACTTTTCATTGTTTTTAATAGTCGTCATTTATTTTTCCCGTTTCATAAAAGTATCCAGTCAGTTTGACATAGGCATAGACAACATGTTCTTAGACAACATACTCAGACCTACTGACGCTTGTTGGCAAATGTTCATGTTTGACACCCTAGATACCTAGGTGACCCTTCAACAATGATGCTGAGAATAGTTTGGTGATCTCACCCTGAGTTAGTGAGTGGCCGAGTTCGGTTTAATGCCGCCTTTGAACAGTATTCCAGTTACCACTTTTCTGCTATGAAATGCCTGGGCATACATTTCTTTTAGACAGTCTTTATCCCAGGCATTTAATCGCAAAGATAATAAAAACTATCCAGCTCTTATTCAAGGCCAGGGTTTTTTATCTAGGAAATATGGTATATCACAGTGTGTCAGCTTAATGTGGGAGGAAAGCCCGAAGTAATGCAGGTCTTAGACCTTTACCACTTTGTGAAACCCACGAGCACAGGTATGGAGCTGACAGACCAAGAAACATAATTGAGATGAACCGGGATTCGAATCAATGATCATCTATTTCCCCGCTTGCCCAAAGGACTTAACTCTGAACCATTGCGATGCCTTAGATGAGTACAACACACTGCATCAAAATATGCTCAGACATTGTCAACAAATAATGACCCATGCTACAAGAACACGACTTATTATTTAGATTGTGTGAAAGCTGATTTCTAGTTTCCCGAACATGTTTGTTTGTTGCTTAGCAATATTCCAGCTATATGACGGAGGTCTGTAAATAATCTAGCCTGGACCAGACAATCCAGTGATTGACATCCTGAGCATCGATCCACGCAATTGGGATACGATGACATGTATCAACCAAGTCAGCGAGCCTGTCCACCAGGTCCTATTAGTCGCCTCTTACGACAAGCATAGTCCCCTTTTACGGCAAGCATGGGTTGCTGAAGACCTATTCTACCCCGGATCTTCACGGGTTGTTTCCTGAATGACATGATACAAAGTAACAAAGAAGTACCATCATAAATCTTACATTATATCACAACTAGTCACTTGTTGCCCCAGCAATGCTAGGAATAAGACATCAGTATATCCTCATGTTTATGCAATCAGGACATCATCATGATCATAACAACCACACAAACTATAAATACAATTTCTAAACCTTCAAAAGTCCAGTCAATGGTAACTATGGTCACTGAGGGTATGAGCATCAACAACGACTCCATTACCATAATTAATAAACACTTACTAAACAATCCAAAGTTATTATCAACAAAGTGTAGAAAGAGTTATAACATAACAAGATATCAGAAGGGACTGGTCCTAAACTGGACCTGGGCCCCATTGCACAAAGCTATCTTAGCGCCACAATTATCGTAAGTCTATGATAAAGAATTGGAATTAAGATCGTCTTAGCGCCAAGATTGCTTTGTGGAACGGGCGCCTGTACAATTGTCTCCCAAAACCTACAGGCTGAAAATACCATCAGCAGAATATCCCAACCTGACACTTTAATCAGGTTAGATATACTATTGATGAGTGGAACTTTCTCTCAAGAATTTTGGGTACCAGTACATTTCAAACAATTCTGACCAACTAAATTATTGTTTAATGTGTCCTATAATTCATAAATAAATGCTAGAAGAGAGGATTTTATGTAAGGTACATGGACAATGTAGACTAAAATTGAGCGTAAAAGTCATTCGTAGGAGTCTTAGTACTAGCTTGTGTAACACTCAGGGGTGAGATGATACATTGGTGCACCAGAGCAGTGTGAGTCTTCATGCGATGATATGATACACGCAACATTATTTTCTGTATCGCGCCAAGAAGATACACTTGCTTAAATAAATTATATACTACTGGTACACTTTTAATGACCCTACAGCAATTTTGTCAGTCAAATGTTGCAACTAAAAATACCTTCTATGAACAAGTGTTTACAGCTAGCTTTTCCTTTTGAACTTGCTCTGAAATATTTCCACATGATTTGAAATAAATATGTGTATCGCTATACATATCGTATCGTGACCAATGAATCGAGATACGTATAATATCGTTACCAATGTATCAAGATACGTATAATATCGTGACCTTACTGTAACATTTCACCCATTGTAACACTCTATGCATTACCACCTGTACCGGTTACTATGGCAACAGTTTGTGTAATGTAACATACCACCATCTAATTTTAACCCTTTCCAGGGAAAACTATACAAAGAAATAATATCACAAAATTACAAGGGAGAGCTCTTAGCCTGGCCTCTAAGTCCTAGAATAGTAATATTTAAAGAAGTCAAGTCATGAAAAGTTAGAACAATTAAAGGGCCTCATCCACTGATACAACCGTCTAACTTTTCACACATATCTTCCACACCACGTGCTTCACATTTGTTTCCTGGATGACATATTTCACCCTTTACTAGATCAGCATGTTTAATAAATAGGAGTGAAAACATCATTCAAAAAAATTAAACTTATTATGATTCTCCACCATCCTCTCCGTGTGGAGGTGAAGAGACTGATGTGACTTGATTTGTAACTGTGACATCAAGGGATGCATATTCAGTTGGCTCTGTATCATTGGTGCCAGCTTTTGAATGAATACCAAACTTGATGTCGCTCAAATTTGAAGGTGTGTCCCTGGTCTCACTGGCGCCAGCTGTTGAATGAAAACCAAACTTGAAGTCACTCTAGTTTGAAGGTGTGTCCCTTGAAGAAGCAGCCTCCAACTGAGTTTCGTCTTGCACCCCCGTCATCTTCCTTACATCAGATGGAGAGGAGCACTGTGCGACTTCGGTAAGAGCATCAGAAAATTTAGGTTTCCCAGAAACACTGCCAAAACTGAAACCTGGCTTCTTTTCCGGACATGGATGATTATGCCCAAAGCCACTGAAGGCTGTTGATGTTGTATCATTGGTGGCAGATGGTGAATGGAATCCAAACACTAATTTGGGGGGCACTGAAGAAGATGGCGATCCAAACTTGAAGTCACTAAAGTTTATGTCCTTTGAAAAAGGAAACCTAATCTGAGATTCAGGTTGCGACCCTGTTGTTTTCTGGACATCAAATGGGGAGGAGAACTGTATGACATGGGTCGGTTCATCACATTCTTTAGCTTCTGCAGAGATATTTTCAGGTGTAAAAGTGAAACCTGTATTTCTGGACATGCTCGAAGCATCACCAAACGTAAACATCCCTTGAGAGTTGTCACCCTTACTAGAAACAGATGGGGTCTGTCCGAACAGAAAGGCATCAAATGGCATGGTGGAGGGTGACTCCCCAGTTGCAGCAGGTGCCGATGAAGTGGATGATGCATCTGCAGGGATTGATATCTTTTTGCCCATTTTCTGATTTTCATGTTTTTGTTGAACCGAAGAGCAATCATCATTTACAAGAAGTTCATCATCCGTCACAGACTTCTTTTCTGGGAAAGATTCATTTGGATCTTTACGTTCGTCCTCTTTCGTGACTCCTCCACTGACAGGATCAGCAGATTTTAGGGAAATGTTGGGACAAGGGGGGCGTTCATCCTGACATGGAGTTGAACACCTGCTGTCAATGGGCTGTGCACTGCAAGAACTACTGGACATCACAGAAGGATTCTCCTCACTGACCTCTGGTTCATCAATGACTCTCTGCTCTGCCCTCACTGTGCTGGAGTTCAGAGTTGCTGTTGCTGAATTTGGGACTTGTGTCGGTGTTGCAGTACTGGAGTTCAGAGCTGCTGGTGCTGAATTTGGGACTTGTGTCGGTGTTGCGGTACTGGAAATCAGTGTTGCTGTTGCTGAATTGGAGACTTGTGTCAGTGTTGCGGTACTGGAATTCAGTGTTGCTGTTGCTGAATTGGAGACTTGTGTCGGTGTTGCGGTACTGGAAATCAGTGTTGCTGTTGCTGAATTGGAGACTTGTGTCGGTATTGCGGTACTGGAATTCAGAGTTGCTGTTGCTGAATTTGGGACTTGTGTCGGTGTTGCGGTACTGGAAATCAGTGTTGCTGTTGCTGAATTGGAGACTTGTGTCGGTGTTGCGGTACTGGAATTCAGTGTTGCTGTTGCTGAATTGGAGACTTGTGTCGGTGTTGCGGTACTGGAATTCAGAGTTGCTGTTGCTGAATTGGGGACTTGTGTCGGTGTTGCAGTACTGGAATTCAGAGTTACTGTTGCTGAATCTGAGACTTGTGTCGGTGTTGCAGTACTGGAATACAGTGTTGCTGTTTTAGTAAAGCTGAGGGTTTCTGTTGCTGAACTGGGGACATGTGTCGTTGGTTCACCTGGAGCAGAGTAGTTATGATGTAATGAGACTTCAGAAATAGTTTCATTACAACTACTTTTGTAAGATTCAAAACTCTGAGCTGCAGCGCTTGTTTCAAATACTGCTGCAGCATGCGACGGATTCCCTGACCGGGGGTGTGCTGTGAAGGCCAGAGGCTGAATTCCTGAGCCTACGGAGACAGATGTTGACAGTGGTATACCATATCCTGGTGACATCACTGTTACAGTGTTATCTAAATAACAGCCATAAGTCCAGAGTGAGTTCATGCTTGGGACATAATACTCGCGTGTTCCAATGCTAATGGTTTGCTGGCTTGCTGTTTCCGGAAGGGTAAAAAACACTCCTGAGGGAGCTATGGGTCTCAACGCATCACTGCTGGTAAAGTCCATATCTACGATATTTCTCCCAGACTGTTCAGGAGAGTGGGGTGTTGCAGTGAAGTTTGATCTCCCAGGGCCTGAATGTGGAGTCACTGCTGCAGCATTAAAGCTGAAGGAACCACCATTAGTAATGTCTGCATTGAAGGGCCACTTGGTTCCTGTAGTTGGTTTGGACAGACCTGCTGATACATTAGGCTGAACTGGTTGAGTACTGGATCCCAGGGTTGAAGTATTAGGCCTTGAACAGAGGGTTTCTGGGGCAGACTGTTCAGGAGAGTGGGGTATTGTAGTGGAAGTTGATCTCCCAGGGCCTGAATGTGGAGTCACTGCTGCAGCATTAAAGTTGAAGGAACCACTATAAGTAATGTCTGCATTGAAGGGCCATTTGGTTCCTGTACTTGGTTTGGACAGACCTGCTGATACATTAGGCTGAACTGGTTGAGTACTAGATCCAAGGGTTGAAGTATTAGGATTTGAACAGAGGGTTTCTGGGGCTGAGTTGGTACTGAAAGGATCTCCATTAGTAAAGTCCATCTTGGATCCTGAATTTCTCCCTGTTCGTGGGTATCTACTTCTTACTGCTACCCTCTGTCTCCTTGGCGAGAATGAGTTACCCCTTCCGGAAAAATCTATTTCATTGGCAGCTGGAGAAAATGATGAGCTCCCAAAGAAAGAAACTGAGCTGGTTGGTGCTGCAGTGGTACTCGCCAACTGCTTCTGTGCAGTAAGCACTGTGGAGTTGCTACACGCTGGACCTGTCCCTGAGTTATGACCTATTCCAGATGTTGTCCTAGAACCAAAACTGAAACTGTTTGGACAGGTTCTTTGAAATCCTTTGAATCCACTTGTTTCTTTTTTCAACATCTTGGCTACATGTTCACTTCCTTCATAGGTACAGTGTTTTACTGACACTTCAAGTTTCTTTAGCGATGTCTCGATAGAGTTGTAGCAATCACTGAAGGCAGATGGGAAGGATGCACTAGCACTGGAGTCTTCTCTAGGACTAGATGTTGCAGCCCCTCTTACAGATATCCACAAACCTTTTGATAGTGTTGACAAAGAGGATGTCGTCAGCGATGCACTCGATGTTACACTGGAACGCTGTGCTGCAAGTCGACCCAGTGGAGTATCTATCTGGCCACCAGACTTTGACCTAAATGATATTTGCCCTGAAGGTTTGGGCTGTGAGGTGGGAGAGGTCCACATTCTGACATCCGTGTCCAGTTCTCCTCGTCTGCTGCGTGACTGTTGGACGTGGTCTGGAGAAGTCCTCATGGGGCTGGCAGAGGACACGCCTACTCGGCTGACAGACTCACTTGCAACTGCAACAAGAATATCAAAATTATCACACAAAACATAAATCTGCATTTTCACTGACAAACATTTTCATGCTTACTCAACAGACCTAGGTAAAACGCTGACTTAAAGGGACAACTGAGAGGATACTATTACCATGGTCACAACACTGCCCTAAACATGTTAAACATGAATGCCTTGTGCTTTGTGTCTTTAAAGTTAAAAAAAGCATTAGGAGTCATTAGGTACAGTGCATTTATTCTGAAGTTACATGAGGTCTGTACACTGTGTTCGGGATAAAGCAGTCCCCAGGACCCCTTGACCTTCAAGCCTAATTTGAAACACAGTGTAGACAGTTTGTGGCCAGACATTGCACAGATCCTCGGCCTGGTTTCCAAAACAGTAATGTCAACAACAGAATGAATTTGTATTAAAAAAACCGTTACAGACAAAAATTGTTTTCAAATCTGCAATTTCATTCACCATTTCTTATTTTGTCAAAGGGAGATAATCCATTTGTAATTGAAAAAAAAGTAACGACAAAAGAAATGTCAACTATCAGCGGTAGTCCTGGCACTAGTCCTGTAGTCCTTGCCAAACTGCCCATTAGTTAAGGAATCATAAGGATGAGTAGAAATTTGCCATTTTTAAGGGTTTTGCTAGATGTTATCATTATAAGGACTAGTGGACTAAATATGTTAGTTTCTACCCCTGACAATGGAACCCCCTGTGGGAATTATGGGTTACAAAAGGTCCCTAGAAATCTGTGCTGATCATAAGAGGTGGATCAGGTTGTCAGACTCGGTGACTTGATTGATTGCATGTCACTGTACCACGGCCACAAGGGTTGGTGCTCACAATATCACTGGGTGAGTGAGCGAGTATAGTTTTACACCGCTTTTAGCAATATTCCAACAATATCATGGCGGGGACACCAGAAATGGGCTTCACACATTGAACCCATGTTGGGAATTCGAACCCGGGTCTTCGACATGACCAGTGAACGCTTTAAGCACTAGGCTACCCGACAGTCCCTCAATATCACTGGACTTGATTAATTAAAGGTTACCGTCATACAGCAGGAATATTGCAGAGTGTGGCGTTAAACAACAATCAAAGAAAAAAGAAAGTCAAATAATTTTCGCATGATAAACCAGGGCTCAAATTAACTATACAAAAAATGGAACAGTGCCACCTATTACAGAAAAGTGCAACCTAATATGTATGTCTACATGCACCAAGTGCACGTTAAAATCCAAATTTGTGTCTGAATAACCCTTACATTTCCACACAACGATCTGTGAACACACTTAAAACCTGAAAGTTTTATGTACCATACCAGTACTACCTTACATTACACCCTCACAAAACCACCTACTCTCATTATCAGTGTCTCCTATCGCGATCAAACAACCATGCCGTCCATTTTGATAACATCTACATAGTACATTCCCTTCTTCATTTTTAACTATGTGAAATTTGTGAGTTTATTGACATCCTCACTAAAACAATAATTTCAACAAATATTAATGCATTAGTCTATTCACAGCAGAGGTCATTTTATTGGATTCCCCTAGCCAGGCGTTAATTCTTATAATCAGGTTTTTTATTGCCTACTGAATGCTCACATGGATAATATTTCCTCTGCAGTCAAGTCATTGAAGCCACGTTGTGTTTTTGAAGTTTGTAGAAAGAGGTTCATGTATAAGAAACTCGCTCATTTATACACATGGAAGTTCGTAAGATATGTAGTCAACTGGTGATATAACCATGACACCACAACTTTGCCAACTATCGCCAGTTGGCTTCAAAGTATTAAATTGAAGAAGTTTTATATTCTTAATTTGACCTAGCTATTTATATGTTTGTTAGCAAACCTAACAACAAGGTTAACAAGGAGACTTACCAGGGTCTGTCCGGCGAACTATCAGATTTCGAATGTCAGCTTCAGCTGTGTATCTGAGCAGTTTCCATGTGGGCATCGTCACAACAGGGATGGCCTGCTGGAGCATGTCACGTGACTCCTGTCTGACCAGAGACGACATCTCCTTCTCCAACTCGGTGATACGCTGTGGAGCAATTAACATGCCTGTCAACAAACCTTCATACCTAACTGTAGCAGTGGTTCCAGGAAATATCGGTGTCACTGTGTTCAAAAAGGATCCTAACCGTGCTTCAAAAGTTTTTAGCCTTGGCACAAGTTCACTATGTTTCTAAGGGCTTGTCCAGCCATTTTACAGTACCGTATTTGACGTAATAAGCGCCCGGGGCGCTCTCAAAATTAGAAATAGGAGGCTCTTATTAGAATATTATTTTGGTGGAAAAAACACAGTTGAAAGATAAATTTCGTTGTGTATGCTGACAGGCTGAAATGTTTATGTATGACAGATATATTTTTCAAGAATTTTATTGCCCATAATTAAGGGTGCATATAACACACGTGTGCGTATTATACTGAATTTATTAAATAAGTCTTATGTACATTGATCAATCGGAAGGGATGCAAATTGGGCTTGTTCACTAGCCAATATATCAGCAAATATCGCTGTGGGCGCTTATTAGAGTGGGGCACTTATTACGTCGAATACGGTATTCCATACATAATATAATTATGTTTATATAAGACAATTGAACGCACCCTGGAACCAAGTTTATCATTTACAGAGTTGTCTGCCCTTACTCTATTATCTATTATCATCAAGGAACCACATGAGTCAGGATGATAGGACGTCAGGCAGGCTAATTACTAATCAAGTGACAAACATACATATAAATCTAGGTTTAGGTGCCGAATATTGACAGATATCAACATGCATCAAGGAACATCTCCACTGGCACTGGCCTCCCGGGACAAGACAAGGCATCTGTGGTGTGCCTCCAATGCTACACTGTCGGTCAGTCGTGAGTGTGAGGAGCCCATTCATCTTGTTCATGTAATGTGCTACCATGGAGTTGTCGGTAGCAATCATTACTCTGCCGTTTTGCAGGAGATGTTGCTGAGCATGAGTGGCTTGAATGACAACCAGGACTTCCAGACGAATGGTGTGCCAGTGCTTGACGTCATGTGACCACTCACCCGCCATTATCATATCCCAACCCTGGATAAGAAGCAAGAGAACGGGCAGATAACTCCATAATTGGTGACCGGAATTCTGAGGTGCGTTCATATGAGCTGTTTTCACTATGTTGCATATACTGATGCAAACAACACCCTGCCACCAAGGGAGAATAATACTCCAGACATTTTTCAAGGAGAGTCATCGGTTGCTGCCCTTAAACATGCTAACCCACCTTCACAGAGGTTACTTCACTCCGCTGATGCGTCTGTGGAGCTCTTGCACCTGGCCACTCACCTTGACTGCCTTCACTCCGCTGTTGCAACTGTGGAGCTCTTGCACCTGGCCACTCACCTTGACTGCCTTCACTCCGCTGTTGCAACTGTGGAGCTCTTGCACCTGGCCACTCACCTTGACTGCCTCCACTCCGCTGTTGCAACTGTGGAGCTCTTGCACCTGGCCACTCACCTTGACTGCCTCCACTCCGCTGTTGCAACTGTGGAGCTCTTGCACCTGGCCACTCACCTTGACTGCCTTCACTCGGCTGTTGCAACTGTGGAGCTCTTGCACCTGGCCACTCACCTTGACTGCCTTCACTCGGCTGTTGCAACTGTGGAGCTCTTGCACCTGGCCACTCACCTTGACTGCCTTCACTCGGCTGTTGCAACTGTGGAGCTCTTGCACCTGGCCACTCACCTTGACTGCCTTCACTCCGCTGTTGCAACTGTGGAGCTCTTGCACCTGGCCACTCACCTTGACTGCCTTCACTCCGCTGTTGCAACTGTGGAGCTCTTGCACCTGGCCACTCACCTTGACTGCCTTCACTCGGCTGTTGCAACTGTGGAGCTCTTGCACCTGGCCACTCACCTTGACTGCCTTCACTCGGCTGTTGCAACTGGCCACTCACCTTGACTGCCTTCACTCGGCTGTTGCATCTGTGGAGCTTTTGCACCTGGCCACTCACCTTGACTGCCTTCACTCCGATGTTGCATCTGTGGAGCTTTTGCACCTGGCCACTCACCTTGTCTGACTTGACTCTGCTGTTGCAACTGGCCACTCACCTTGTCTGACTTGACTCCGCTGTTGCACCTGGCCACTCACCTTGTCTGACTTGACTCCGCTGTTGCACCTGGCCACTCACCTTGTCTGACTTGACTCCGCTGTTGCAACTGGCCACTCACCTTGACTGACTTCACTCCGCTGTTGCAACTGGCCACTCACCTTGACTGACTTCACTCCGCTGTTGCATCTGTGGAGTTCTTGCATCTCGCTGCTGAGACGATCCATGCCGTCCAGTATGGTCGAGCACTTCTGCCTGTCGTGGGTCAGTGGGTACTTGATGTCCTGAACCTCGCTGTGGAGATCCGTGTTCAACTTGGCCAGTCGAGACATCAGGATGCTCTTCAGTACCTCTATCTCAGCCTTCAGTTCACTCTTAGCAGTGTCCTCTTCACGCTGACAAAGCAAATATGTTCAAGAACCTTCACATACATAAGCTCCAATGGCTACCATACTATATATAAATAAGGATAGTCTGACACCATGAGTTCATATCCTACGATTGGTTTATGGGAAAACATGGTTGTGAGTGAGAAAGCATATTGCATGATTGGCAATATCAGCTACATCACAGCAACCTGCCATAATTCTGATCCAGATAACCTGTGTTCAATAGACTGAGTAACGATACAATAAGACAGATACGATTACAGATCATCAGCCAGATAAACAAGAGTTATCAGAAAGATGACATATACCCCCAGCAACTGTCTGTAAAGTAACCACAAGTAAATGTGCAATTCTGACAGCAAAAACGAAATGATCCAGAATATATTGAATAAAAATGTAGCAATCAGAATCCTCATATTAAGACCAAAATCCCCATAACTACATGCTCAATTATGTCTTGAGTGTAGATCTTGGGAGAAAACAACATCCTTCCTGATTCTCATTATTCTGTGTTTCTGGACATTTATCAACATGATCAAACTTTACTGGACACTTTCTCACACACGATCCTGTCGGAGAATGTCTGCCACGATCACATTGTGTTTGGCCCATATGAACTACAGTTAACTACGGTTATAACGAACTCAAAGGGACCACTAATTTTAGCTTGTTAAAACCAAAGTTCGTTATAAGCACATATACAGCAAATGGCTGGATGCCAAAAATAAGTTTGTTATATCCGCCAGTTCGTCATAAACATAGTTTATTGTACTGAGGTAGCAAAGACAGGTCAAACTGAGGCAATGAGAGACCAATGACGAGACTCCATCTGTCTCCAAAGTGATTGAGGTTTCTCCCCAGAATTGAAATGACTGCATCTCTTTTCACTTTCACCATACACCCACAGCTTGTTATTGTGACCCACGTACAACACTACAGCTGAAAGAATGTACACTGTAGAGGTCAGCTTAAAGTACAAGTCCAAGGTAAACAGTGTCGCAGCAAGGTTGGTTTGTTGTTTAACGCCACACTCAGCAATACTCCAGCTATATGACGGCGGTCTGTAAATAATCGAGTCTGGACCAGACAATCTAGTGATTGATATTATCATCGATCCACGCAATTGGGATACGATGACATGCATCAACCAAGTCAGCGAGCCTGACCACCCAATCCCGTTAGTCACCTTTTACGACAAGCATAGTCACCTTTTACGGCAAGCATAGTCACCTTGTACAGCAAGCATAGTCACCTTGTACGGCAAGTATGGGCTGCTGAAGACCTATTCTACCCCGGAATCCTCACAGGTGTGTTGCAGCAAGGATTGGCTCAGTTTGAGTCACGTAATAGTTCAATTTCTCAAATGTTCACCTGTAGGCAATTGTCAGTTTGAACAGAAAACTAAGCTATCTTTACAAACAGTAAACATGATATCCAACAGCTGTCCCAGATGGTCACATGCTTCAGTGCAACATGCATTAGACATGTTAGAATGCCAATGTTACATAAATGTCAGCAACTAGGATTTTCCATTTTCTGAAAAATGTGGCGTAAAGCTAACTGCTGATGATGTGTAGAAATCCCTCATCTACTCACATTCACTGCCTCCAGCTGATCGTCCAGGAGCTGTATCCTGTCATTCATAGATGACATGCGTTCTCCCACTTCACTTGACAATGCTACTAGACTTTCCTGAAACCAAATATTGTGGTCCAAAATAACCAATGTCATTATTATCACGATTATTTAAACCAACATTTATCTCAACTTGGTCATGGAGATCTAATTAGCATGAATCTGCAAATGATATTAATCTACATTCTTAATATACCAGATATACATGATATAGTCCACTTAATGTCAGATTTCAGTTTTGTTTGTTGTTTAATGCCGAAACTCAGCAATATTCCAGCCACATGACGACTGTCTGTAAATATTCAAGTCTGGACCAGACAATTCAGTGAATGACATGATGAGCTTCGATCTACGCAGTTGGGATACGATGACATTCATCAACTAAGTCAGCAAACATGACCAACCGATCACGTTAGTTGCCTCTCACGACATTCATGAGTTACTGAAGATCAATTCAAACCAGGATTTTCACTGATATTCAATTTAGTCACCTCTTATAACAGGAAATGTTGTGCTGGGAACACATTCTACCCCGGGTCCCAACAGGGTCAGATTTGAGAGTGATATCAGTTATGTCATATTAATAGATACCACTCAGCCCAAAACAAGCTCCGATCCGTGAAGATTCCAGGGTAGAATAGGTCTTCAGCAACCCATGCTTGCCATGAAAGGCGACTATGCTTGTCGTAAAAGACGACTAACGGGATCGGGTGGTCAGGCTCGCTGACTTGGTTGATGCACGTCATTGATCCAAATTGCGCGGATCGATGCTCATGATGTCAATCACTGGATTGTCTGGTCCAGACTCGATTATTTACAGACCACCGTCATATAGCTGGAATATTGCTGAGTGACGCGTTCAACAAGAAACAAACAAACAAAACAAGCTCCACCTACCCATGTAGTCTTCCAATGATCATCCAGAGGCTTCACCCTGTGTTGCTGAGAGTGACATGTCAGCGTAGGGCAGGCAGCGCAGAAAGCCCTTTTGCAGTCAAGACAGAACAAATATAGTTTGTTGTCCGGGTGTTTCCAACACGCAGACGAGTCTAGCGCCGGGACTTGTCGTGTTGCTGTTAAAGCCCTTCTCCCTTCATCCGTCTTCAAAACAGATACCAAATTGGCTAAAGACAAATTTTCTGGTAGGCTGTCAATACCACGTGCTGATCTGATGGTGGTGTTGGCCCGGCAGACTGGGCACTTGAAGCTGATGGCGAGGGTGCCGTAGTTGTAGTCCTCCTCATTCTTCACCAGATCCTGGATACACTTTTTGCAGAAAGAGTGACTGCATCGCAGCAGGAGTGGGCACGAGTACAGCTCGCAGCACACTGCACACGTCAGCTCCTGTTCTACATTCTGGGACAGGGAGGAGTCTGCTTGAGCCATGTTTGCTGCTAGACTTACCTGGAACATGTATCTATTTATGTACATGATGTAAGATTAAAACAACCTACACATGGTGAAATAGATCTTGACTGTATCAAACATCAAACAAATGACAATATAGATCAATGAAATGGGAGTACTAGTATAAACATCGGTTGCCAGCTGAGAAGTGACCATACAGTGGTCGAAATTAAAGTGCAAGACTCATAGGTAGGTACAGCTTGGCAGAATTGGACATCGTAACATCGTTAACATGGTTAATACAAATATTGTATTCAAAACAAAGATTAATTTGCACTTTAGTCCTATCTATCAATTTCAAGGTTGAAACAAAAATACATTGGAGGGGGAACTTTTTATATAGAGGCTCCACATATGTTCTCTGTTGGAGGCGATGTCCTCTCAAACTAGACATTTGATCACCCAACAAGGTCCCCTCTCTGTTTGCACCCTAGCAAGGAAGGTGTTCATGGTCAGTTGGTAGCAAGCTTCCTCGGCACAGCAAACCTATTCTCCACCCTTTTTAACTGTTTAGACATCCTATCCACAATAAAACAATGATCTTTTGTAAACAATGATGTGACAAAGGTCATTAACATCAGTATTGGATGAGAAATTGATGTGCGAAACATGCTATTTCTTCAATTGTGTTAATTGGTCGTGTTTCGGTACTCACAATAATTCATTCTGTATAGACTTTTCTTTGTTTAAAATCATAACACCATGCACCATCTTACATCGTTCCTTTTTAAATATCTTATGCTCCAATCGATTATAACTTTTCAATATATCCGACTCTGACAGTTTCAATAGTTTGCAGGTTTTCATGAAATGTGAATGTTCCTCAGAAGATGAATTGGTAATTTCTAAGGAAAGGTACAAGTGAACCCCATAGCATCTTCCAGAGGCAAGAGCATCCACTAGCCTTTTAATCAAAGTCTTGTTTCCACTCTTTCCACATCAAGCCCACTTTCCTGTGCTAAATATGATTGGACTAGCGCACATGTTGATAGAACTTGATGTGGCAAGGGTAGAAACTAGGCTCTGATATAGGCCGGAGGACACACTTGCCTCGGGAAGATTACCCCAAGGTGCTTGAGCCTGTGACTGACAATAGTGACGAAGATAACCAGGATGAGCCCCACCTTAGTCCCACCCCATTTGTCACATACCTTAAAATCACAAATGCCACAGCTGAGTTCTACCATGTTCTACCACTATCCAATGCTTCTTACCCAAGAAGTAAAATGGATTAGTTCTGAGCATATCCCATTTTTCACATCCATGTTTAAACACTATCATTAGGACATTTCAAATCATAAAAACGACATTTTTTTATGTTGATTCTGCTTCTCATTTTGGATGTTATTAGTTCAAAGTTTGTTTTGCTTAAAACACATTTTTCTATTTATTTTACATAAAACAAAACTTTTGAAATCTGTACATTATAGAATTTGTGACATGTTCATCTTGGTGTGCCCTTTGGTATTGAGTATGTAATCATGAGATTTACCTGTTGTGGTATTGGACCAATCCTAATAGACTTAGTTGTCTGTATGATTAATATCATATAAATAAAATATATTGTCAGAGATATCTGAATTTGTGGTTATGCTGTAAGTTGGAGTCTGATTATTGAAAGATTGCTTGTAAAGATCCTGTATGTTTCCTACTCCACTGTTTAACAACTGGGGTATCTGACAGTGACAAAGGAGGCATGTCCACTTCTGGCATACATAATGCAATTATCTATTGGCGCAGGTACTGGAGGTTTTCATAAGATGAGAGTGAGTGAGTGAGTTGGGTTTAACGCCGCTTTTAACAATATTCCAGTCATATCACGGCGTGTCAGCTTAATGTGGGAGGAAGGCCCGAAGTGATGCAGGTCTCAGACGTTTACCACTTTCTGTGAAACTCACGAGCATGGGTATGGTGCTGACAAACCTAGAAACATAATCGGGGCGAACCGGGATTCGAACCCACAATCATAGGTTTCTGGCGTGTCCAGGGGACGCAATCCTGCACAGCAAATCGCGGCGCCTTAGACGACTGGGCCACCCTTGCCCCCCATAAGATGAGAATGCTTGTGGGTGAGACACATACTGTGCTGTGTAATTAGCACTATTGGCTACAGAGATCTATATATTAGTGTGGACTCAAAGGAGGGGCCCTTCAAAAATTGAAAAAGAAAATATTTTACAATGTCAAAATTAAATATTTTATGTTAAATCAAGGCTACTTCACACCCACCCACTAGCCATACACTTGATATGCATGGAACCATTGAGATAGGTATTACATACACACAGGACTCCACATAAAGGAACGATTGCGTATATTACATATCCTGCCTAGCCAGCAGTGCTAATTAAGTCACACCTCCTCATTAGCGCTTATAAAATCTTCAGGTTATTACAAATACAGACCTCAAAATACACACTTTTATTTAAGCTCAACAGAGTGAAGCTGACATTTTCACACTGTTTTTTTATCGACCATTGTATTGTACATGATACTGGCTACACAGCGATCTATTGATATTTTTCATGATACTTGCACTTTAACTGGGGTCCGTGAGGTCTGCGTCTGTAGTATTTGAATCTGGTTGCCTTTTACGTATATATTTAAACACTAGGGTTATGACAAAGAGCCCCTGAATTTCATGCTTAATCCTAACACTGCTATTAGCACCAACTTATGCACTTACTAGCCAACACCATGACATGGAACCATGGACCCTATCAGTGTAACTTGTGCTGGTTTACCAAATGATTCGCATCTGATCAAGGCACTTGTGCACAAATGTAAATAATCACAGGCTTTTCATATTTCTGGTGAACACACCTGCCAAAAACAGTGGCATAATCTTTGAAACTTCATTGCAGAATACAGATTTACCATCGGCAACATTGGATTACCTTAGGAAACGCTTGTCAAAAGAGGTAAGATTGTGAACCAAAAGAGTTGTGCTGGGGCACTATAACTCGAAGGATAGCAAACAAGGGGGTGCTTGATATGAAAGGGGATCTGAAGACTTAGTATATCCTAACCGTAATGATTGTTAAGGCAGAAGAAATCAGTGAATAGTGGAAGTGCAATAAAGCATACCATTGCTGCTATGTAACACACTGGACACACTTTTACAAATTTCTATTAGAGGTGCAGATGACTAAATTCGCGTTGCCAACTTGAAGCTAAGCTAATGAGTTAATCTAATTAGCCAACAGTTCACTACAGGTGCTATCACAAATAGTAAGCGCTTGTTTACACTACATATTGATCAGAACCCTATTGTTTTACGATAGCCATGTTTCTCTGTGAAGCATGATATAAATTTACTGACTTTCTTAATTTTACAGAATATGAATTAGTTAAAATAGGTGAAATAGCTAAAATATACCCTAATTCACAACTGTCCAAAAAGATCGTAATGGGGTACCTAACCCTAATTATGGTAAACAATGGTAAAGGTTGGATAGTTTGATTGGCAAGGGGTACCCAACACTAAGGATCACGAATGGTGTTTTGATTGAAAAGAGTACCTAACCCTAATAAACGTAAAAGGGTGGTTGATTGTAAAGTGGAGCAAGGGCTAGGGTTATATTTTGGGGTAACTTACCCTAACACAGGAATTAACTCAAAAGATAGAAAAGGCACGTGATATCAGTGATGCGAGAGCCACCAACAACAATTTTATCTCTATAAGCTTCCCCCGTTTAACTGCAGGCGAGTCGAAGGTAATGTAGACTGGTTGTGCATATTTAGTTGATCTTTCCACAAACCTGAATAACAAACACTGAGACATTTCTGAAGCTGATTCAGTGATTGACAAACAAGAATGAAAACGGGCAAAAATACGTTCCTGGTTGAGAAATGGCCTACCTATTATCCTCTACTTGCAGGAAACGACATTATCTGATTGAAAGATTGCATTATAAACAAACGACAAACAGTAATTATTGTTCTTGATACGCAGCTGAGCTATACAACTTGTGTGGACCGACTTCTGAGAACTTTAAAACGAAAGTGGCGCTACGCACCACAGTCACTACTTCCTGTCACGTGAACATCTACTACCGGTGTAAACAAACCGTCACGATGTTCCGGATGACATGAACATTAGATGAGGTGTGTATTTATAGCGCTCTAGTCAGTAGGCGGCCAGTACTGTTCAGATGGATTACCTCCAGCTTTATCTGAAAAATGAATACACGAGAGACAAAGAAGTTATATCTACGTTTTTCCAAAAATACGATCAAAATGGGTAAGTAACATTTCTGCAACGAAAAAGGTCATTTGACAAGTCACTTGTTGGGCGATTAGTTTGTTTATGCCTGTGTTTGTTGGTAGCCTTTTTATCAGCTGTTTAATACGTCACTTGGAACCTTGTGGTTGTTCGACAATACAACCGGCTACGAGTGGTGTGTGGTAAACCATTGTATACGCAAGGCGTTATGGTTAGTTGGTTAGCCATGACACCGTGTAGCACCTGCTCAGGTCAGATTGACAGCTTGTTGATCGTGTTGATGCCGATGTAGACTCTGAAACAAATCCAATACAGCCCATGCAAGTCTATAATGTCTGGCAAGTCTAGATTACTGCAGTATCAGAAAATGAAGAAAGTCTCTTGGCTCCTTTTCATTATATTTTATAACTATAATTTAACAACTGTTTTTTTTCTTTCAAATATGTTCATTTCAGAGACTAGATGTTAGTCTAATGCCCCTGTGACATTCAAGAATATTTGTACCATGGACTGTGTTGTCTATTGGGCATTGTGATTAAGTTATAATGACCCTACTCAGAGCTCCAGATAAGCTGCGTATCTGCGTGAAATACGCATCAGAAATGCAGAAATACACAGTAAAATATAATCCAAGCGTATCAAATACACAACGAACATTACAGATATGCTACAAAAATAAAACGTGTGCATATCATCAAAATATTGTGAAGTAACCCTGCGTATTCCATTAGCAAATCAGCAACTTATTTTGAAATTATAAAGGGGCATTCCGTCAACCTTGCCAAACTCCACGATGACAGTTACATCATGATCATTTGCCATCACACTTTCTTGTGGAAGTATCGTGGTATTTTTGAGTCCTATAAAGCTCTCAAACCCACATGACACCAGTTTGCAGGGACTAGATGAATAGTGTTTTTAAATATTTAACTTAAATACCCACATGTGTAAAAACTAGTTGGTAACAGAAATTTGAATACGCAGGTAGAATTACTGATACCCAATGATTTTAAAATGCATGGGTAAAATACCCACAACACCAAAAGCTTATCTGGAGCTCTGCCTACTTATTTAAAGAGTGAGTTGGATTTAACGCCACTTTTAACACTATTCCAGTTATATCATGGCGTGTCAGCTTAATGTCAGGGGGAAAGCCTGAAGTGATGCAGGTCTCAGAAGTTTACCATTTCGGTGAAACCGACGAGCATGGGTATGGTGCTGACAAACCTAGAAACATAATCGGGGTGAACCAGGATTCAAACCCATAATCATAGGTTTCTGGCATGCACAAGGGACGCAACTCTGCACAGAAATTCGCGGCTCCAGCCTACTTTTAGAATACTATACCACAAATTTTCAAACACATGACAATACCCTATGACGTAATCTGTAGTATTTTATTGACAGTTACACCGGCAAAACAATGCCCTGTGACGTCAGGGGTCATCGAGTGTGCATAAGCTCCTCCCAGTGATCTATCATCTCTACACGCAATGTCATTGAATACGCCCAGCGGTGTTGAGAGTTTTGAATATTTGTCTACCAAATATAGCCTGCGGCGGCGCATTTAATAGCAAGTGCTAGTTTACGAAAGCACTTTTATTTTTAATCTATTTTTTATTTTGTTTTTCGCACAATTCAAGTGGCTAAAATGGCTATAAATGGGAACTAAAATACATATATTATTTTTTTGGTTTATTAATTTGCATTATCATGCACAAGAATGAAGTTTATTAGGGATATTATATTGGTGCTGAACACATCCAAATGTCGCCAGTGTTAGGGTCTGTTTCCCTGAACTCTATCCTTAGCCCTTGGATCCGCTTTACGATCATTAGGGTTAGGTACCCGTTTAGTGGCTATTAGATTACCCGAACTCTGTCCTTAGCCTTTGGATCCCTTTTACGATCAATCAACCCTTTACGATCATTAGGGTTAGGTACCCGTTTAGTGGCTATTATAGATTCTATAGCGGCTCATAATATTCTTAACACAAAAACGTCGAGTGAAAAGGATGAAATGTTTTGTGTGGAATATTTTGGCTACTGGAAACTGTCCTGGAACATTCACACAAGCCACTTTCACCGGCTACATTTTTTCAGTACTGATTCAAAAGCGAACTCACCCTTGTGTTGTCACAAGCCATACTCATGCCTCCCTCGTTCCTTACTATTATCCACATCATCCTTACAGTGTTCCCTACCACATTTTCTGTCACAAAAATCACCTGACAAATTATTAAATACCACGTCATTCATGCATACTCGCAAGTTTGACGTCTGACATCTGGAGCCGTTTTTAGTTCACGCCATATCGGCTCATTCCTCACCACTCGGTATCTTGTAGATGCCAAATGGCATCAGGATCATTTGTAATTGTCCATAGACTAAAGTCCCAGGACATCATGCCAACCCGTAATCTTCGTAAGTGTCTGTCACCTATTCGACCCTTTTTGTTCAGTTCTGTAACGTCGTAGGCATGACTAGGTAAATTTGCACTTAGTTTCACAGTGTGAACGTAGCTCAGTTGGTTAGCTGTAGGGCTAACAATCCGAAGGTCGCGAGTTCACGTCCGACAGATTCTCACAAAAACTGGTTGCTTGTCTTAGAGACATGTGACCTACGGCAGAGATCGTCCTCATGAGAAATTGTGGTACTGTATTCTAAAGGTGCTCCTTTAGACGACTGGGCCACCCGTGCCCCCACTTATTTAATTACTTGTAGGCTTTAGTTCAATGAACATCAACAGAAGTGTATATTTATTATTGTTAAAAAATTGTTGTTATTATTATTGCTGCTTTGGTCAAGGTTCTGTTTTCGCTCTGACGTTTTGCTGAGATGCCATTTTAGCTATGACTGTCATATAAACGTGATATACATTCTCCATTCTACATCATGAGTGTGGCTATCTGTCTGTTTGTTTGTTGTTTAACTCAGCACTATTCCAGCTAGCCTATTTGACAGCGGTCTGTAAATAATCGAGTTTGCACCAGACAATACAGTGAACATGATAAACAACAAAGGCAATTAACAATCTACAAACTGTAATACTTTCAGCAGAGCAACGATTTATTTAATCTTAGCTTAATGATATTTTCTCTTGGAGCTCTTTAGGGATCAATGAATGTTGCTAATATATATGTATGTATGTATGTATGTATGTATGTATGTATGTATGTATGTATGTATGTATGTATGTATGTATGTATGTATGTATGTATGTATGTATGTATGTATGATCAAATATATAATAAATAATATTTCATGGTATATATATATATGAATGATCAAATATATAATGAATAATATATCATGGTATATTTTATGATTATTGATTCTAATTTCTTTCTCACAGGGAAGGATTTCTTTCTTCCGAGCAGTTCCGTTGTTTTGTGGAGGAAAATTTTGACTGCTCAGATACAAATGCGAAATCCAGGAGCGACAGCATTTTGAGAATATTTCAACTTATTGACATAAAAAAGGTTTGTATGAAGGAAAACATTTTCCAGTGAGAAAAATATTGATAAACCACACTGTTCAGGATGTATGATTATATCACGAGAACCTCTGACCCTGATTTGGACCAATGTAATTAGACATGCTACAGTTCTTGTCCAAATGCCAGTGAAAGCTATGTAACCAGCTGCTAACATGAATGTGAGACTTAAGGCCGGACATGGGTCAGAGCACAATCGCAGTCAAACACTGCTGTGTCGAAGGCGAAGGGACCTACAAAAATAATCGAGTTATCCAAGGTTCGACACAACCGAAAATGATAAATAAAGAAGGAATACATAGGGACCATGCTTTTACTTCGAGGCAACCGCAAGTTCAACACATCAAAGTTTAACACAACAGTGTTTGACTGTACTACAATATAACAATACCAACCAGACATCCATGCCTTTAGAATGCTTACGTTATGAGGTAAACATAAACCCAATTGACCTTTAGCATGTTTTAGTGCATTGTTAGCCAGTGAACACTTTTGTCATCTGCCAACTCATATATGATTATCTCTATAATAACGTTCTTCCTGAATATTGTACTGACACTAACAGAGCATCGTGGAGCGTGTTTTCTAGTCTTGGTAAAATCACATACCGTATTCGACGTAATAAGCGCACAGGGCGCTCTCAAAATTAGAAAAAGGGGGCTCTTATTAGAATATTATTTTAGTGAGAAAAAAAACAGTTAAAAGATAAATTTTGTGGTTTATGCTGACAGTCTGAAATGTTTATGTACGACAGATATATTTTTCCAGAATTTAATTGCCCATAATTAAGTGTGCATAACACACCAGTGCGAATAAATAAGTCTTCTGTACATTGATCAATCGGAAGGGGTGCTAATTATTATTGTTCATTGGCCAATATATTAGCAAATATCGCCGTGGGCGCTTATTAGAGCGGGGCGCTTATTACGTCGAATATGGTATGTATTATTTGTTTTAAGTCTGTGGTCAAATATAGAACTATAGCTGGACTTAAAACAGGTATAGATTCTGATTATTTGCTGCTTTGTCATCAGTAATGTTATAAAGACTTTTATTGATATGATTAAGAAAAGTTGGATTGCGGGTATATTTCTATATACTATGAAAAAGGAAATCAAATCAAATCTAGTTTTTGATTGGCATTTAGAAGTTGGAAAGACATGAAACTTATATGGATTACAACCTCTTTGTCAAATCTTCAAATGAAATCTGAAAAACATATTTGTTTTTAGTGCACCAAATGTAAATTTCCATGTTCACTTAAAACACATTGTAGGTTAGACAAATTATGATGACACAAGTTTAATACCACTAAACATGGCAATATATTCAAATAGCCTTTTTAAGAACAAAGCAATTAATCTGAAATTGTCTTTTTTCATGTTCTTATAATATTTTATTTTTATTCCATCCTGCCAACCAGGATTGAATATATTTATGTTTCAATTAGGCCATTTGTAAATACCGTTAAATATATTAGAAGTTATCAATGTCATTTCGCAAATGCCCTGTTTATACAGTGAAGACCAGGGGTGGGTGTGGGCACTAGACCACTGGACCACGGTGACTGTATGTCTGTCACGATGGTGAAGGATCCTGAGCTTGTGCAAGACCTACCATACCTTTGTTACCTCTCTGAACAATGTAAACATGTAGTTGACCCAGCTTGTTGAAGTGGGATGTTTGTGTAGTGTTCATTATATCACCTTGTCAAACGGGTCACCTCGGTAGGGGTATATGTTGGTATATACTGCTCAAAAGAAGTTAAGGACCACACAACTCGTTCTTATTGCTAAGTTAATCTGTCATGGAATGGTCCTGGACTTCTTTTGGGTAGAATAGATCTATCATGTCTATTGTTTGAAAGGCATTACTTAGAAGTTGACGGATGACAAAGTAGATCTTATAGATTTAATAGATCTGATACCACAAAATTAAATTAAAGCCAAGAATATGATATTGTTCTATGTTGCTTGTTTCTAATGCATCCACATTTAGCAGGAGTCAGTTTGCCATGCTTCAGTAAAGTTACGATATAAGAGACTTTTGCAAACATTTAAGTCAGATTCGGACAAAATAAATTTGGATAAAAAATCAACTTAACAAGAGTGAGTGAGTTGGGTTTAATGCCGCTTTTAACAGTATTCCAGTTATATCACGGTGTGTCAGCTTAACGTGGGAGGAAAGCCCGAAGTGATGCAGGTCTCAGACGTTTACCACTTCGGTGAAACCCATGAGCACGGGTATGTTGCTGACAAACCTAGAAACATAATCGAGGCGAACCAGGATTCGAACCCACAATCATAGGTTTCTGGCATGCCCAAGGGATGCAACTCTGCACAGAACTTAACAAGAGCGATGTATCATGTAGTAAATTTGTCATGAAGTTATGGTATTTCAGAGATTCATATTGGGATTCATAGAGCTGAAGATTGGCACCAGGTCTATGGTAACATTTGGTAAAACTGACCCCAAAATAACAACTCCAATTCAGATGATCTATATTTAATTTAATTTAAGTGTTTTAATACCGACTTCTATTTCAATAATAACAGGACCAATATGAGATAAGGGCGTTGATACTTAGTTTTACAGAACAGTACTGAATACACTTCTGAAAGTTCTCTCAATTCAAAGCAAATCAAATCCCAGTTTTGGACAAGAAAAATTCCCTTTTTGAAAGTTTCGTGACACGGGTACTTAGCAACTGACCATTTAATAGTCTTGAGGCGTGAGTGTTGTTTTCGAAGTTTGTTCGGGACAGAAATATAGATAAGTGGCTGAGCGTTTCTGTACCATAAACTTCAAATGTTAAGAATAAACAATTTATTTTGTGAGGGTAATCATGGTAATAATCTCTTTATGATATAATGTCATTCTACAAATAATCTGTGTGGTGGGGGAGCCTTGTGGTTTAAGTGTTTGATCATCATGTCGACATGGGTACAATGTATAAAGCCCATATCTGGTGTCCCCTGCTGTGATATTGGTGGAATATTGCTGAAAGCAGCGTAAAACCAACTCTCACTCACTCACTCACTCACTCACTCACTCACTCACTCACTCACTCACACTCACTCACTCACTCACTCACTCACACACACACACACACACACACACACACACACACACACACACACACACACACACACACACACACACACACACACACACACACACACATACATATATATATAGTGCCTACACATCACACATCAGGAAACACCTCTCTGAATTTTTTATCAAGCATACTCTGCAACGATGTATGGTGCTTGAAAGTAGTTCTTTTTGGCCTATTTATCAGATCATGATCATGGTGATACCAAGTTTATCGGATCCCACCGATGGAAATTGGCATTAGTCCTGTAGTCCTTGCCAAACTGCCCAATAGTAAAGGTATCATAATGAATAGTAGAAATTTGCAATTTTGAAGGGTTTTGCTATATATTATTATTATAAGGACTAGTGGACTGAAAATGTTAGTTTCTAACGCTGGATAGCTTAATCACATCAATAACACTGTCCATTATATATATGATAGTTTTTCTCAGCATGATTCAAGATGTACATTTTGTATTTTAAAACATTTACTGTATATATATTTTTTATTAGTCATGATTAAATCCCAGTAAGAGAAATTTGCCAGTCTATGTCGGTAGCTAATGCAGCCATGTTAACATCAGTGACACAAGTTGGCAAGCACATGGCTGTAGAACACTGGGCATGGGATCAGCATGCATGACCTCTGGCTGCCCCAGTGTACCCTCAAGGCTGCATAATCCAATTGTCGTGAATCACCACCCAGGATATAAGTCGGCAGACAGTGTTTACATATTGTGTTAACTAGGCCATTTGTAGACTGGCCAGACTTGAAATTGGTAGCACCCTGTGGATCAATCTGGTCTATTATGGTGTTTGAGCAATGCTCTTTCTTGAAGTTTGCTCTACCTTCATGTATTGTGTACTAAAGTATAGTTTTACCTCAAATATTGCATAATTTAAGAACCTTTATTTTTCATAGTGATGGGTGGAAGCCAATTGGCGACTTTAATCGAAGTAATTAAAGAATCACTTTGATTGTCTTCTTACTCAAATATGTTGAGACAATGTCCAAGTTATCAAGTACTCTAATCACACAGACAATGTCCCAGTTATTGATTACTCTAATCACTCAGAGACAATGTCCATGTTATTGATTACTCTAATCACTCAGAGACAATGTCCACGTTATTCGATTACTCTAATCACTCAGAGACAATGTCCGCGTTATTCGATTACTCTAATCACTTAGAGACAATGTCCATGTTATTCGATTACTCTAATCACTCAGAGACAATGTCCGCGTTATTCGATTACTCTAATCACTCAGAGACAATGTCCGCGTTATTCGATTACTCTAATCACACAGAGACAATGTCACAGATATTGATTACTCTAATCACTCAGAGACAATGTCAAAGTTATCAATTACTATAATCACACAGATACAATGTCCATGTTTTCGATTACTCTAATCACACAGAGGCAATGTCACAGTTATTGGTTACTCTAATCACACGGAGACAATGTCCAATTATTCAAGTACATAAATCACACCGAGACAATGTCTCATTTATCGATTACTCTAGTCACACTGAGACAATGTCCCATTTATCGATTACTCTAATCACACCGAGACAATGTCCGCGTTATCAATTACTCTAATCACACAGACAATGTCCCAGTTATCGATTACTCTCATCACAAAGAGACAATGTCCCATATCGTTTCTGAGACATACACTCATATAGATCTTTATTGTGAAAATGTTGCCATCACCAATGGCATTCTTTCAGAATGAAAAACTCACTGTTCAGTTGCATTGTTTGATTCACATTGAGCACATCAGAAGCCGTGCACAAACACCAACACTCCTAACAAGGTACTGGCACAGCCCTTCTTGTGTTTCATCTGGTTTTACCTTAACCCTGAAAAGTTGATTTTTGCCAGATGGAAAACTTTCACCGCTGTTACCTCCACACCCCGCCACCACCCAACCCCGGTTGAGACTATGACAGGATATATATCCTTCAGCCAGTTAGTATGTTCTTGTTTAATGTGGTATATGTGTTTTTCAGGATGGAAAGCTGGATGAGCAGGAGTGGGAAATGGCTTGGTACTACTGGCTCAAACAGGTTAGTGATGCAGACAAACTTGTCACCATTTTGTCAACTGTGTCCACACTTTATGTTGTGGGGGAGCAGAATGAAATAGAGTTTGTGACTGACTGTTATTCTTTATATGCGACAAACAACAAATTTGACTTTGACGTCAGAGATCAAGCAGGCAGGAACACAAATGAAAATTAACCAAACTTTTTGTGATAAAACAGTTACCATGGTGAGTAGATGAGGTGACATATGGCTTAAACTGTTCTCTGAGAACTAAGGTTCATTTCAAGGCGCCAATAATGGTAACTGATCAGTGTTGGTGTAAATGTGGGTGAGCCTGTATTATCTGGTGATCAGTTCACACACAATGCAACCGAAAATAAAAAAATTAATTTGACTTTGAATAATAGTAATGTTGTGCATTATGAATGATGAAGCAAGATCATGCGACTGCTTTTGGTACCCCACAAGAGATTTATGGACATGCTTTTTCTGGTGTTAGTAAACTGGTTTTAATGTATCAGTTTGGGACAATTTGCGTGTCCGGTTCCAAATTCAATTTAGCACAGTTAAATTTACAGTATGTTTGTCTCCTAGGTTAACCATGCTAATGTTTACCTTTGAAACCTCTCTCCCTTCCCCACGCCAGAATACCCACATCCATCACCCCCATTAAGTCTAGTGACTGACAACAACATCATGAGTATGTGTAGACTGTCGTTCACCTGTCAGTTGTTAGCACACTGAAAGAATGATGTCAGCTTCCCATGGGCATTGTACGTGTACCTTCCCATTGTCCTTATGTATGGCCTGTGGCTGTTGCCACCCTCTGTGATGCAGTGTATATATATACCTGTGAAGATCCAGGGTAGAATAGGTCTTCAGCAACCCATGCTTGTTGTAAGAGGCAACTAACGGGATCAGGTGGTCAGACTTGCTGACTTGTTTGATGCATGTTATTGTATCCCAATTGCATGGACCATGGTCATGATATTGATCACTGGATTGTCTTGTCCAGACTCGATTATTTACAGACCGCCATCATATAGCTTGAATACTGCTGAGTGCGGCGTTAACAAACAAACAAACAAACAAACAGCGTGTATAGGACCACATATGCCTGTAATAGTCAATCTTGATTGCACAAGGAATATTGCGATGAATTGTTTAGTTATCAGTACTGTTAAAAAATGCATATGAGTAAGTGAGTTAGGATGTAGAGGTTATTGCATGTGTGTTGGTGTTATACCATTGTTGCCCTATTATCAGTAAGTGCCCAGCTCCAATCAGCATCCAACTGTTAAACCAGTCTGCAAGAAACCTTTATCAGTGCCCTATACTGAGCCCAGTATCAGCATGATCAGTATGACACACATGCCAATGTAATAATTTCTTTATTACTCATGCTTTTTTAATCTTTTAAAATCCCCTTTATCAAATGCACTGATCACAACCACACTGGTGTGAGTGATGTGATATTTGCCGTAGGGCACATACGACTTTTATGAACTCGGTTATTTCTAACCCTGTGGGTAATAAGTAAAGGTTATTGCATCTGTGTTGGTGTAGCCATCATGGGCGGATACAGCTTTTTTGAAAAGGGGGGGTGCTCAATTAAGATCTATTTGTTGTCTTTGGTGGTAATTTTACAGAAATAAAGATATTTTTCGAGATAAAAAGGGGGGGTGCGCACCCCCGCACCCCCCTCTGTATCCGCCCATGGCCATAATTTATGAAACAAGTGACAGAATTTCTATGTCCCATATTTGCCATATTAAGTGCCCAGTGCCAATAAGCACCTCCTGACCAATTGTTTAACCAGTCTGCAAGTCATCTTTATTAGCATGATAAGTGCCCTGCACTAAGCCCCAAAGTGACTGAGTCCATATTATTTGTGTTCAATACTTGTCTTACAGAAAACACAACTGTGTAAACACATCTTCCTGGGTTGATATTTCAAGTACAATCCCAGAATGTATGGCATAACAATGTGCATGATGAGTCAGAGAATTTTATTTGTGTACTGTGATGGTTGCTGATTAACTTCTTTCAATCAATGAAGTAATTACCAAATGATGAAGACATTGTTTACTGAATCCTGAAAATTACATAAGCAAAGATAAAACATGTCAATGTGATTGCTAGTACCTGGTTATCAAATGAGCAATTCACACGACAAGTTTGATTACAGTGTGTGTGATTCCCGTAATGGGAAATACAATTAAATTTGCGATTCTCCTCATCTTGTATCCTATTACTACAAAAGTTTTAGCTTCATCAAAACAAAAACAAAGTTTGTTCTCTCTCGTCAGTTACTGACATCCTGTGAATGATAAGGAGATTCAATGCTATGCTACTGCATTTACCAAACTGGCGTCAAAATTCGAATAATTTTTTCTCTACCAAAATATTGGTGTGAAAATTCAAAGATTTGTTTCTCTAAAAAAAATATGCAAATTATGACTTTTCAAACCTAGATCCAACTCTTGTCATGGTAACATGTTTCATGCATATTTTCCTTGAATACGTTTGAGATTGATAAATGCATGGCTGTTGACAAGTCATGTTTGTCAAAGGCAGTGAAGGGCCGTTGTATTGTCCAATGATGAAGGCTGTGTGTCAATGATAGTAACACCATGGAGACAGCAGACCTCTGGAATGTTTTCATCCCCTTGTAGTTGGCTATAGAACTAATCATGATTAACTTTGATGACTGTAAATAAGTACACTGTGTTTAGCCCACTTTGACCAATGTTGACCATCCCCTGTGTGTGAGCCTGCTGACATATGCATTACCTGGACACTTGCTTCTCTGCTGGCTGCTGTCATTGGAATCTTCCTGAGGCAAGACAGTCAACTGAATATAAAAGTCCAGTTTCCACCTTTGCAAAACTAGGCTGGGGTAATATATTTGGGCAGGACTAACGAATCTATGCATTATCCAATCAATATCGCATAACAAAGTCAAGATCCGGTTTGTAATCTGCCATGGAGGTTTCATTTGATTGCAGGTTTTGCAAAGCATGTGTACTGTCAACTTAGCATCAAAAAATATTTTCCAAATCTTTTTATGTTTTTAATCAAGGTGCTCACGTGATTTGATGCACTTCACAAAGTAAGAACCGTTATATACATGATATAGGTTGTATAGGTTTTAATTATCGATCAGATTGTCTTCACTGGGCGCCGCCATTTTGTTTGAAGCAAATGCAAGTGATATGAGGGTTGAAATCTGATTGGTCAATAGGAGGGGCATAGAAGGGACATAACTTGTAGTAGCCACTGGTGGCACTACGATCGAACCCAGAAATTCCCGGTTAGTTCGCCAAGGGTGGAAACTGGACTTTTACAGTCAGTTAAACTCCTTGCCTTGGGAAGATGTCATTGGAAGGCTCCTGGACATATTGCTCACAAATCAAAACTTTAATATCCTGCCAGAACCATGATAACAAAATGATCAAAATTGTTTTGCTATATATTCAAGGATGCAAGATAATTTTATTTTGGTGTCACAGATATTCTTGGTGAAACGCCAAAATGAAAAAAAATAATATGTCAGCATGGTCAGGTTTGATTTCAGTATAAAAACTTTAACAGAAATACAAACAAAACTATATTAAGCCCATTTTTTTTCAGTCGAAAAACTGACACATTCATTTTCCAGTAGACACAATCATAAACAAGAAATTGAGACAGGAATTATGAGAATATATGGATTTGACTTATAAGTGCCATCAGCAGATTGTCTTTTTTCTCTCCGAGTAGGATGAGTTGTACATGTCAGGAGGAAAGCACTATCTTCTGTGTGTTGTTCTGGAATTCTGTAGTACTAATCATGTTGATAGATTCTGTCCCCCGTGACAGCCCTCCTCATCATCGACGTCCAGAACGACTTCATCAATGGCAGTCTGGCCCTCTCCAACTGTCCGGCCGGTCAGGATGGGTTTGGAGTGGTGCCCATCATCAACTCCATCCAGGGACACATCAGCTTCGACGTGGTTGCCTACTCCAAGGACTGGCACCCACCCAACCACATATCCTTCATCGACAACATCAACAGCAGACCATTGCATTCCTCTTCCAAGGTAGGACAGGGTGTCACCTGTGGCTTCCACAAGTTGATGTTAGCACTCCATCTATGGTAACTCCCACACTCTAACATAGACCTACGAGAGTCATAGTGCCAACATTACTTTGTCCTGAAACCTGGTATTGGTAAAATGAGTTGAATAACATGCACTTTGAGATTCTTCTGACCGTTTTCAGTGTGAACTTGGGAGAGAGTTCCAGTGACTGACAGTAATTAAACATACCATCCCTGGTAGATATTTCTTTGAAAAGGGGAGCGAAATTTTTTGTTTGTTTTTCAAACGCCTTTTTCCAGGGCATTGTTTCACAAAGTGATCTTAGCGCTAAGATAATGGTCAATCCCATACTTTAACACAGACTTATGCAGTCGTAGCGGTAGGATTGCTTTATGGAATGGAACCCAAGACATCAAGCATGTCCAGGAACGGTTTTCTTGTTTAAAAAAGCTCAGGCAATTTTTTTCGTGTCTCTTTGGAACAAATAATATTTTTTTTAAAGGCCACGCCACCAAACATGGTCCTTACGTAAATGTGTAGCCATTGACATTGCTGACATGCCACTACACAACTGAAGTATTGTAAAAAGCAGCACTAAACCCAATTCACTCTCTGATTTTGTTCCCCTGCAGGTATCGGCCAGCGAGGCAACAGTGACAGACACTGTGGTGTTCGCCGGGCCCCCTGTCACTGAGCAGGTGATGTGGCCTCGGCACTGTGTTCAAGATTCGCGAGGGGCTGACTTTCATCCTGACCTCATGGTACGTCACTAACTCTGAATACCCACAACTCAAGATTAGTGTCATCTTATGACGTGAACAAAACCATTCCGAATGACTTGACATTATGTCAATTTCATATGCTACCAACAGAAAATAAGGGAACTGATTAAATGATAGTGAAGATGCAATGATGATAAATGTCTGTAAAATCTATGTCGGGTGTCACTATCTGATGTGTCCACCATGTTGGGAGGTACATGCACACCTTGATGTCATACTGTTGATGAACTTACATATGGTTGCTTTTGGAATTGCTCGCCATTCCGCCTGAAGAGCTACCCTAGGCTTGGCCACATTGGGTGCTGGGTCTCTGGTGTACAATCTCTGCCTAAGAACATCCCACATGTGCTCCATTGGGACATGTCAGGGACAAAGCGGACCAGTCCAACGTCTGTGTGTCTCCTCAATGGAGGGACCACATCCATGGCCTAGTGGTGGAGCTTCTACCTGGGGAGAGGTTGTGGGTTCGATCCCTGGCCGCGGCATTCCAAAAGACGTTAAAAAATGGTACTTGTTGTTACCCTGCCTGGTGCTCGGCATTAAGGGGCTAAAACAAGGACTGGTTGGCTCATAGTCAGTATCCTGTGATGATGTGGACTAGCATTATAAAATCGACATTCGTTCAGACTAGTACAAGCAGTCACACACAGATGCATGCACATCGCTATGTACTTGTAAATGCAACAATCTTGAACGCCTCGTTGACGACACCTGGTAATCAGTGACGACCTGGGCATGATGAAGTCTGACTTTGTTGTCTTCCAGTTCAAAATATCTGCCAATAATTTTAGTGAATGGAACATCAGGATGCAAACTTTTGTCAACATAATGCTGGCCTGTCAAATGTCCATTCACAATAACCAAATCAGTTCACCTGTCATTTGTGATACTACCGCACACCCTGACACTACCGCCCCCATACCAATCATGGTCAAGAATTGTTGCCCTGTATACCTCCCGCTGCTACGTCACCAACAACGGTTCCTACAATCTGTGAATCAGATGCAACACCTTGATTCCTTAGGGTCACACCCTACACAGGACACCTTGCTTTCAGACGGGTCGCATAGAGCTGTTTATTAACAATAGATGTGGAAATTTGCCCTCTTGTTATTGTATGGAAGTCTCCATTTGATAACAGGAGCAGACTTGAATCTATTGTGTCATGCAATTGTAGCGGCCATAAAATTTCCGAGTCCCGTGATGGGATTCGAACCACGGACCTTCTGACCAGAGGTCGGGCGCCTTGTCCACATGACCAAAGAGGTTAACCCCATCAGCAATCTGACAAGGTAAGGATGTCATCTGAGGGATGACTCCACGCCTTGCTACACAATGTAATTAGACGATTTTGTCTAGGTGTCATTTTTGGGCCAGTTCTCATTGCAACACCACCCATTTGACGGTACTTGTCCAAAAAGTTGTTAAATTACCCGCTTTTGTTTGCCAAACATTCGATCAACTTGGGATATTGGTGTTTCAATTATTTATAAGATATTGAATAGGGAAATATGAAAGGAATATCTTCCTATCCCATGAGAATTAAGCCTTTAAGTCAAATTGGTATATCATGCTATATTTGTATTGTATCGCTCAGTGAATCATTCATTTAATGATGAAACCCAAGTACATAGGGACAAACCTATGTGTTAACCACTGACTTTGTAAATTTTGCGGCCAGGTGCTGGACAAGTCGTATGTGGTGAACAAGGGCACCCACCCTGATGTAGACAGCTACTCCGCTTTCTGGGACAACAACAAGCTGTCACAGACCAAGCTTGTCAACATCCTCGCCAAACACAAGGTCACAGATGTGTATGTGTGTGGCCTTGCTTATGATGTGTGTGTAGGTACGTATTAGCTTAGAACATACTACCCTAGTATTGCTGAAGATAATGTTATTGGTATGAGTTTCAGTCATTCTACCCCACATTGCATGGTAGCACACATTGATGTATGTAACGTGCTATATCTGTTGATGTGATAAACAATGTGCACAAAGGATCAATGTGTGATATCCCTGTACTCAAGCTCCCAGTCATTATACTGTCTTGCCAGTGAATTTGGAGTTCTTGGGTACTCGTTTATCTTGAATACTAAATGTACAGACATGTTGTGACTGGTTCTGACACATGGAGTGCAGGTCCCAGAGGTCCCCTTGTTGTGTTGCAAACTAAGATGGGGGTCCAGGTTTAAGCACTGTGACTTGCCTGACTGCCTGTAGTGGTACCCTGGTGGCGAGGATTGTTGCACATTTCCTGTCACTGGTTTGCCTGGCCTGACTCAGTTATATACAGCCACATTCACTCACTCACTCACACTAACTGATCTCGACATACCTGTGTAAGACGTGATGTATTTATCGGGGTTTCAGCGCTCCCCCACCCACCCAGGCGTAGGAGTCTCTCTGCTGTCATAGCTGATTGGTGGGATACAGGTTTAATAATTTGTCAGGTGATCTGGTGTTTTTCTACTGAGTTGGTGTGACGTTGGTACCGTATGCTTTTTGTCACCTCACTATGAATGTGTTGTTACGTGTCGGCAGGGTCAACAGCACTCCATGCTTTGGAGCATGGATTCAGAACGGTTCTGATTGAGGATGGATGTCGTGGTGTTTGTCTGCAAGGTATCGACGACATGAGACAGAAGCTGATCAGTAATGGAGCATATATCGGCACATCTGATGAGGTGGGTGCACAATCAGAATGTTTCTACCATGTCTACAAAGTGCGCAGTTGTTCTGTGGACACGGAACTATGAGTCAATTCTGTTATGTAATGTAGGTCTTTAGTACCAAGGAAATACAGTTTCACTCTGTTTACTTGCTTTGGCCAGAGACTTTTGGCACTATATAATTGCAGATGTATTACATTTGACATATCATTTCCCGAGTTGGGCACTAATTGTTACCCGCCAGGAGAAAAGGGACCGTATGGTTGCTAGGATACAATTGTGCTGTGACGTCATAAATCCGTTTGACGTCAACTTACTTCAGTGAAGATCAATATGTGTGATGTCATGTATCTCTGTAATTAATATGAATTGAAGCTTGTGAATTGTATTTTGTGTTCCGAAGATGCTGTAGTTTTAAAACATAATGAAAAGTCAAAATGTGATTTTTCACCCATAAGGTCCCTTATCTCACGGTTAGTCACAATTACAGACCTAGTGCTGTTGCTTTATTTACGTTATCAACAACGCTTCTGAATACTTCAATACAAAACATCAATAATAAAAGCTACAGGTGACAAAGAAGGTTCTACATTTTTTTTCATAAAGGACACTTGAAAGGACACTTGAAATTGTGGGACATATGTGGGAAATCAATGTGGATATTGATACGCTGAATACAGTAGTTGTGTAACTTTGGAGCCATTTATGATGTTAAGGGGAGACAATCAGGAAGTAGGTGAGTGAGTACCTATAAATAAGTAGACAATTTGGTGGCAGACCTGTTCAACAATATTCATGGGATGGCAATAGAGCATTACAGGGATGTTCATTAAACAGAAGAGCATCCATATTTCTTAACTTCTTTCCATGTGATCACTCGTCCCTTTGTACCGACATGGTGAGTATTTATTTAAAATGTCCATTTGCTGTAGATTAATTTATGCCCGTTAGTCTGGACCTTGTCAGTACAATAACGTTTGGAATGTTTCTAGATAATTCCACTGGAAATGGGGTTTGGTTGTATCAATGAAGTAGTCATATTTTCTGTTCTTGACTTCAGCTTCATGACTTCTGGTGTCCCCCGCCGTGATATTGCTGGAATATTGCTAAAAGCGGCGTAAAACCATACTCACTCACTCACTCACTCAGCTTCATGACCATCTCGGCTGTTGCAGGTGCAGGACCTAGTGTCAGCCAAGAAGCGCCCTCTACTGCTGGCTGTGAAAGCTGCTGAAAATTATGCCATGGCGAGAAGAATAGTCCAGTCAAAGGAAGTGTAGCGGGAGATGATATGCTGAGTGCCAGTGTACATGACTAGGCTGCCCCTCCTCCCCCAAATGCTATGTATGTGGCGTGCTCTATATATGATGCGCTATGTGAACAAGTCAGTCTTCAGTCTGTTGTGTCTCTGGGAATTATTTTGTATTAAGTTTTCTTAATGCTTGGTTTATTGTCTTGAAATACACTAGTCATGTTGTTCATTGATTTAATGATAACAAACATGTCCATTTATTTTGGAATGGAAAGAATCTATTCAAAGAAACTTCAAGATGTTTTTTTGTTTTAACCAACCAACAATTAAATTAAATATTTTTTGCAATTTTCGACAATAGACAGTAGTTTTTATCATGTTTATAGGTCAACTTTCTGTAAGGCCTTATATCATGTATATTGTGTAGTGAATTGTTTAGACACATGTACGTTATCAACCAATTGCAAGGCAGCTTAAACAATGTTTCCGTTTATTTTCAAATAAGATAAGGTGTAAAATTGTCTCGTTTTTGAATATTCACTTTTGAAGTTTGAGAGACTAAGCAATAAAAACAGATGGGATGAAATTACCACAAGCATCATTTTGAAGAATTTCAATTTTCTACTTCCTGGTCATAGCTGGCTGACTGCTAGTGTTCATTGACGTTATTGCACCCGATGTCCAGGTGTTATTATTTTGTACCACAAATATTCATGAGTCATTATTCCGGCAAGCCGATCACAGTCCCAAATTTTGCCTACCGGAATCTATTGGTCACCGACCAGTTTGTACTTAATGTCCATAGCAATATTGTATAGATAAGGTAAAACATTTTGCTTTTGAGATCAGATAATTGGAATTTCAAGGTCAGAATTTAACACATATGTTGAGCCGGAGTTTCTGTTGCTACAATACAACTGTGAGAAAACACTGGTACCTTACTTTTAGAGACTTAAAGGCCCAATTGGCAACTGACCAAAGATTTTACTTGCAGCACAGAATAATAAGTAACCCAGAAGTCAAAGGTCACAATTCTGTGTGAAGAGTTGCATCCCTTTGCTATGTCAGGATCATCTTGTCGTTTTTCAATATCCCAGATTTGCCCAGATTCTGATATTTGTCATCATACCCGTGTTCATGTGTTTAACCAAAGTGTGAATGTAGGCATTATATATTTTTCTGCTTTCTCATTTGATGTTGAAATGATGCCATCTTTTCTTAATTCTGACAATGATAAGTTCTAATGTCAATGCACTGCAATGTCTCAACTATCCAGATGACAACAGCTTAAGATGGCCCCTATGCGGTAACAGGTTTATCACAAACTAGACATAGTTATCATGTTCGGTAATAAGGGCCTCATCTTATGTGACATTCAGATCTTTCTTCTGCCTTGTAAGTTAACAACAGTTTAAGATTAGCACAATTTTTCATCGAAGGAATGTTGTCATCCACATCTTGATGACTTGAACCTCTAGTTTAATGCAGGTTCAAAGTTGCTCATTGGTTCTCACTGAATGGTAGGGCTGTCTACAGAATACTGGTTACATCTGGAAGTACAAATTGGCAGCTTTTTTCAAATGTAGATAATAAAAAATTGAACAACTGACATTGTTGGACAATCAATCCATAAATTGCTGATAGAATGCGGAATATGGAATTGCATTGTTGGCTGTGGCTAGGTTTCTCTACTGCATCAGACTGTAGATGCTCGCAGCTGCATCAGTAGCAGCCTGCTGGTATCAGGGACCACCGGTTCCATCCCCTCGCTACGTATCCTTCAGTCATTCACTAGCTAAGGGCAGTAACGATGAACCAATGCTCTGTGCTACAAGGTGATTATTGATAGTCTATTTGTACAGAGCCATACATTTGTCTCTAAGACTACTAATATATTAATTGTGGTGGACATTTCAAAACGGTTAACAAAGTTTCACAAGTACCAACCACAGATGTAACAAACCAATTTCGATATTCTTTCTGGGTTTGGTGTAATCATGTTATACTGAAGACATGTTGTAATACCGGTAGTACATATATTCATGAATTGTAATGTTTTTCCTACTAAATAGATGAGGTTGGAAGACATTGTTTTTTCACATTGCTAACACATTTACTGATTGTGGTTTGGTTGGGTCTCTAGTCAATGATAAATACGTCTCCTTGTGATGATGTATGCACCCAGTTTCCATATTGTGCAAGTATAGTATAGCTATGTTACAACAGCCAAGTGTATAGGTGCAGCCCTGAATGTTATTCACTATTCCGCTGGATGGTTTGTTGTCAAAGATAACTGATGTTTCTATGTGTAATGATCGGAGACTTGATCTCCCACAGTGTGCTGTGTCATTTACTTAAATGCATTTGCTCTACTTAGCCAATTGGATGGTTAACTTGCCTTGTCTTTCTGGCATGTCAGTGTGCTTTCACATTATTTTTAAGTGGATCACACAAACTAATTGTTTCTTACAATACACAATGTATGTTATTTTTTGATGACATGTACAATATTATGCCAAATACTTTTAACTCTACTAGTCCCAACATGTTTTTTGGAACATTTGAAATAACTTTCATATATGGGCGGTTATGAGCTGAACTTGGTAGACAAAGGAAAATTTATTAAACCGCACATAATTTCGTTCTGTAGATGTTTTTCAGTACTAAACTGGGTGAGTACATGTGTGAATAGCAGGGTGTACTGGGGTATGAGATGTATGAGTGGAATGTTCTTGTATGCTTCTCATACTATCTTTGTTCTAGAGGTGTACAAGCATATTCAGTCGTAAAATAGAATTAATGAGTGTATCCTTAGAAGAAAGAAATATATTTTTCAAAGAAATATGTTTATGTGATCTGCTTTGTGACCACAAGAGGGTGGGGAAGGTACTTCAAAATGTGAAAAAGGTCAAAGCAGATGATGTCATACAAGCTGGCCGATAGACTTGTATGGGTTTTTAGCTCACCTGACTGAAAGTCAAGTGAGCTTTTGTCATGGTCTGTTTGTCTGGCATATTTTGTGTGTCGTCCATCACATACTTCTTCCCACCAATGATTACACCGCAATGTGTTTAAGAGACTGAAATCTTATTTTCAATATGGCCGCAACTGCAGTCATATTGAAATGTGTCTTTATGGTCTTTCCTCAGGCATCTTGGTACAGAGTGTAGTGATATTTTGGTACATGTGTTGTGAGGCTCAACATATGTGTAAAGTTTTGACCTTGAATTGACCTGTGCACTTTGACCCTACTGAAAGCATGTCCCTTACTCAACAATTTTGTTTCAATTTGGCCTGAAATTTGGTATATTCGTAGTTGGTAGTGGAACTCAACACACATGATCTGTTTTTGACTGTTATTTTTAATTTTTGCCTTTTTTCACATTTGCACTTTAAATTGACCATGCTACAAATTCTCTGCATTTCGTCACAGAAACATTGTTGCCTCAGAAACCACAGAACCAATGGAAGTGAAACTTCATTTTCTTGTCCCTACCACTGGACACATGTGCATTTGTTCAAGAGATTGGAATCTGCTTTTCAAAATGGCCACAATTACAGTTACATTTGGAAAACTATTTATGGCCACTGCTCAGTCATTTTTGTTCAATATGTCCTGAAGCTTGGTACAGGGCTCAACACATACGCTCTGCTTTTCACTGTATTTAAATTTTGTCTCTTGCACTTTGACCATGCTACTAAATTCTCCCAAAATGCATTTCTTCAGACTTGATAAATAACTGGAAAAAATCAATGGCATCAGAAATGTTATTCAACTGAGATGGTTAATGAGGTTCAGTGTTCAAACTTTGTGTAAAGTAAATAGAAATGATGTGAATTGAAATAGTGTTCTACAATAATATATTCATTCTTGCAGATTTAGACACATTGCGACTAGTTAGTTCCTTGTTTCATATCTGTTAATACTTTTGTCCTCAGTACTTATGCAGAAAATATTTGGATCGGCTGTCTCTGTTGACTACATATCCAGGTGAGCTACTGTGCTGTGGCACTACTTTAACAATACTGCGACAGGCCAATCAGAGAGCTGGATTTTATTTATGATGATAATTAACATTCCATGTTTCAAAGAATCTGTCAAATGTTACCATTGTTTACTTAGAACTGCTTGGGGCTACTCAACACAACCTGACCAAATTGGAATTGTACCCGGTAAAATTGGGCCTGGTCTCATGAGACATCGAGTATGATGAGATGGGACTTGTTGTGGTGCAGGACATGTGCCTCTCTGTCATACCTCACAGGGGGCACGGTGGCCCAGTCGTCTCAGGCGCTGCGATTCGCTGTGCAGAGTTGCGTCCCTTGAACACGCCAGAAACCTATGATTGTGGGTTTGAATGCCGGTTCGCCCCGATTATGTTTCTAGGTTTGTCAGCACCATACCCGTGCTCGTGGGTTTAACCAAAGTGGTAAACGTCTGAGACCTCCATCAATTCGGGCTTTCCTCCCACATTAAGCTGACACGCCATGATATGACTGGAATACTGTTAAAAGCTGCGTTAAACCCAACTCACTCACTCATACCTCACATCTGTTTATCATATTGTATTCTCTGATATTGTATGTTTGTAAACTGTGATAAGTATTTTTATTTTAACAGTCACCACTATCTTCAGTTGAGTCAACCAACCTGAGCATGTGTCTTGAAATCATTTCCCCTACATTTCAGTGTTGTTATGTGAGTTATTTTGTGCTTGCTTCACTGAAAGCAGTTTTCAAGATTTGACTTTGGACTAGTGGTAAGGTCGCAGACTGTTTTGATTTGTTATGTACTTGGTTCGTTGTTCTATACTTTAAACATGTAATGTATTTATCTGTGTGGCTACGTTGACAATTGTGATGTGGAAATGGCTCCTTGTCTTGATTTAGTGAAGACTGCTGGCAGATGACACAGCCTATCAGCTTTCAGTTCAGTCACATTAGTACCTGGAGGATTATGTGGCAGAACTTCTCAAATTTTATAACAGACTTTGCTAAATTTTGCAGTTTCTCTTAACTTCTCTAAGAAATGCTACAAAACACAGATTTTCAGAACTGTCAAAGACACAAAAATATTTTTTCTGGCAAATAAATGTGCTTCAATGTCTCAAACAGCAGACGAATCCTGAAAGGATAAGAAACACACACTAACTCTGAAAAAGTCTTGTTTATTGTTGTCAAAATGGACCTTTACAATCTTTACGGAAAATGGCAAGACAAAGATCATGATTGTTTATTTCTGTTTTAGTTCTGCAATGAGCATATCTTTTATTTCAAGCATGATTGCAGGTGGATCCTTGTTTTGAGCTCTAACTGAGTTTATTTACGAAATGTTTTCGTGAACATTCCATAAAAATGGCATCATGAAA